TTGCCCTCAGCACCCTGTTCCCAGCTCACGTGACAACAGGGTCGTGGCAGGGCTGCAAGGAGAGGCAGCAGCAGTCAAAGTCCTTGACGGCATCCCGGCTCAGTCGAATGTTCTGGGTCCCGTAGCCCGAGGCCGCTGAGGACAGAGACAAGAAAAGGGATGGAGAGACAGGACACATGACTCTCTCCAAGCTCTGACAGAGGCAAAGAGGAACTCAGAGGTGAGGAAACTCGGAGAAATAGGCAGTCAAGAGTGGGCTGTGTATCTGTGTGTGTCTGTGCTCTGCCTACGTTGCTCATTTCAACTGAGGACAGGTTTCTGAGTTCACTTCACCTTTCTCATGGATAAACTCACATGTAAGCAGAGAGGAAGTCTGCTGTCCACTCAAACTGATCCCCAGTGTGTCAATGGAGCAAATTCCACGTTTTTAAAACAAGCATCTGAGTAGAACTGACTGTACACGAAACTCTGGCAAATTTACACGAAAAAGCCAGCTACCCAGTAGGAAAACGGGTAAAAGATATGAAGAAGCAACTGACAGTCCTGGCCAGTGTTGCTCCGTGGTTAGAGCGCTGGCCCTCAGACTGAAGGGTTGTGGGTTTGATTCCCAGTCAAGGGCACGTGCCTGGGTTGCAGGTTCAGTCTCTGGCCCTGGTTGGGGTGCGCGTGGGAGGCAACCAATTGATGTGTGTGTCTGTTGGGGGCAGGGCCACACAACCCACAGGAAGGTGTTAATCCCCAGAGAGTAAGTAACAGACCCCTAAGCCTGCACCTCTCTGGGCCTCCGTTTCTCCCTCGGGAATACTGTATGGCCACAGTGACCCCTTCCATGAGAGGATTAGATGAGTTCACTTACAGGGCACCTAAGGCAGTGCCCAAGACATGGGGGTGGAGGGTGGGAAACAGGTTACTGGATCACGTGGGCTGTCCCTTGTGTGGGAGTGACCATCAGTCAGGGAAGAGAGACACACGCAGAAAGCACAGCCAGAGGTGCCAAGTGGGATGGTGACTTCGAGACACATTTGTCCCCCTCCCAACCCAGTACCTGTGTCCTTCTTCTTCTCATGGTAGGTGTAGACAGCCCCAGCCGTGCAGTTCTTGCCATGCCGAGTCATCCTGTGGGAAGGGGGGACAGCTGGAGGGCTGCGTGGCTGGAGGGAGCCCACACAGGGACCTTCACGGCCCTCAGAGCCGACCTGTGCCCCAGACGGAAAAGCTGGCAGTGGGGCAGGGGAGGACAGTGTGACAGACGATAAATGCTTAAGAAATTCCTGCACATTCCAGGAAAGAAATGTCACTTTGCCCTGGCCGGTTTGGCTCAGCGGTTAGAGCGTCAGCCTGCGGTCCAGACAGACCCGGGTTCGGTTCCTGCTAAGGGCATGTACCTCGGTTGCAGTTTGTCCCCGGCCCTGGTTGGGTTGTGCGGGTGGCAGCCACTCGATGTGTCCCTTTCATGTCGATGTTTCTCTCTCTCTCTCCCCCTCCCACTCTATCTGAACAAAATATGGAAAAATGTCCTTGGGTGAGGATAAAAATAAATAAATAAATAAATAGGAGTGCCCTTATAAAAAAAAAAAAAAAAGAAATGTCACTTTGCCTTGGAAAGGACCTGAAGCTTGCCGCGGAAGTGGGTGTCGGCAGGGGTGTGCCTTATGAGTTAGTGTGAGGTGGTGGAAGGAGTTATCTGAAATCTGACGGAAAGTTCTAGTTTTTTTTTAAATCCTCACCTGAGGGTATTTTTTCTATTTATCTTCAGATAGAGTGGAAGGGAGAAAGAGGGAGAGAAAGGGAGAGAGAGAAACATCAACGTGAGAAGGACACGTCGACTGGTTGCCTCCTGCACGACCCCGATCAGGACCGGTATTGAACCTGCGACTCATTGGTCCGGAGGCCGATGCTCTATCATTGAGCCAAACTGGCCAGGGCGAAAGTTCCATTTATTTATTTTTAAATATGTTTTTATTGATTTTAGAGAGAGAGGAAGGGAGAGGGAGAGAAACATTGATTGGCTGCCTCCTGTACACCCCTGACTGGGGATCGAGCCCATGACTGGGGCATGTGCCCTGACCTGGAATGGAACTGGGGAATCGAACAGGTGAACCCTCGGGCCGGGCTGAGGAGAAGTTCTAGCACCAACTGTGGATGGGTGTGGCCACACACATGCGGGGCCCTGAGGCACCTGGCTGATGTTCAGGGTGCACGCGTGCATGTGCTCTGCCTATGTGCTCATTTCAGCTGAGGGCAGGCCTCTGGGTTCACTTCGCCTTTCTCGTGGATGAACTCACATGTACGCAGAGAGGAAGTCTGCTGTCCACTCACACTGATCCCCAGTGCATCAGTCACACTGGAGCAAATTCCAAGTTTTTAAAACAAGCATCAGAGTAGAACCGACTGTACACGGGACTCTGGCAAATCAACATGAAAAAGCCAGCTACCCAATAGGAAGATGGGTAAAAGATACGAAGAAGCAACTGACAGCCCTGGCCGGTGTGGTTCAGTGGTTAGAGCGCCGGCCCTCAGACAGAAGGGTTGTGGGTTTGATTCCCGGTCAAGGGCATGTGCCTGGGTTGCAGGCTCAATCTCTAGCCCCAGTCAAGGTGCACGTGGGAGGCAACCAATTGATGTGTCTCTTTCATATCAATGTTTCTCTCTCTTTCTTTTCTCTTTCTCCCTCCCTCCCTTCCATTCTCTCTGAAAAACAATGGGAAAATATCCTCAGCTGGCTCACGGTCATGTGGGACTCACACAGTGGACTGATGGACTGGATGTAACGTGATGCTCTGCTGGACTCAACTCCACCATGGAATGGAAACTCTGGACACTGGCCCTGCTTCTAGCTCTGCTGAAACCCCAGATGCATGTTTTCCAGGACTGGCTTAAGGGAGCTGGGACTTGACAAACTGAGGGATGTAACTACACACAAATAAAAATCATTCTCCTGTGCAAGTCTTAGCAAATTCCTTTACTCAAGATATTGCAAGAACCCCACTCCCACTAGTGCTGGAGACATTCCACCCACTCATTTCTCTGGCAACACTTGATTCTTTACCTGAACCAAGAAGATGTACGGAGGACTAACAGGAGCCTTGTGGCAGTGCTCTGGAGTCTGCCGGCCCTCTATCCCCTGAGGATGTATCAGTTCCCCTTAACTCACAATAAAATCTTGCCGTCACATTAAATAGATATATATATATCCTCGGATGAGGATTAACAAAAAAAAAAAAGGAAGAAGAAGCAACCAACAGAAGCAGCTCGAAGACTAACAAGGGTATGGAGAGATGCTCAAACTCTCCTCAGATGAAAACCAAGGCTTGGTGGGGATGGGCTGGTCATGGGAACCCGCGGGTGATGCAGGGGGAAGAGTGGACAGGGTCAGCCATCCTGGGACAGGCTGTCAGTACTTCAGCGAAGGGAGTGTAGGCACTTCTGCAGCGAGGTGTATGTGCCCCAAAGACATTCTCAGAGACATCCATAAGGAAGCAAGTTCACAGCAGTGTCATTTACACTGAGGGGGGAGTCGAGGGCAACTGAATGTCCCTCCTTCCCTAGGAGAGTGGACAGTAACTGCCAGCCATGGAGACCACCCAGCCAGGAGATGCAAGGCGCGAACAAAGTATCATGGGTGGATCTTAAAAACACAACACTGGGTGAAAAAGTAAGAAATAAAAGATCATTGAGGTCTGGCTGGTGTGGCTAAGTTGTTGAGCGTTAACCCATGTACCAAGAGGTCGCTGGTTTGATTCCTGGTCAGAACACATGCCCAGGTTGTGGGCCTGATCCCCAGTGGGGGGCATGCAGGAGGCGGCCAGTCAATGTTCTCTCTCATCAATGTTTCTATTTCTCCCTCTCACTTCCTCTCTCTAAAATCAATAAGGGGGAAAAAAAATTATATATAAAAAAAAAGATCACTGGGGGGGGGGTGGGATGGGGAGGAGGGTGTCTAGGGGGGAAAATGTGTAACAAAATTAAAGTAATAAAAATTGAGCCCTGGCTGGTTTTGCTCAGTGGTTAGAGCATTGGCCTGCGGTCCCGAGAGACCCAGGTTTGGTTTCCACTAAGGGCGCGTACCTCGGTTGCAGTTTGTCCCCAGCCTTGGTTGGTCGTGCGGGTGGCAGCCACTCGATGTGTCCCTTTCACATCGATGCTTCTCTCTCTCTCTCTGTTCCTCTCTCTCCCTCCCACTCTACCTGAACAACAACAACAACAACAAAAATGGAAAAATTTCCTCAGGTGAGGATAAAAGAAATAAAATAAAATAAAAATTGAAAAAAAAATAAAGTGGAAAAAAAAGAAATAAAAGATCATTAACAATCTACACGTGCCCAAACAATACATTTTATTTATTTATTTAAATTTATTTATTTACTTATTTTGGTATGTGCCCCTAGCGGGAACCAAACCCAGGACTCTCTGGTCTGTAGGTCGACGCTCCAACCGCTGAGCAAAACCAGCCAGGGCCAGAGGATATGTTTTAAAGAACACTTACAAACAAAAGAAGCCCATGTATTAGAACGGTTGTCCATGTAAGGGAGGGGACTGACTAGGGGGATAAGCAAGAATAAATTAATGAAACAAGGAGGGGGTTACACAGATCAACCTGCAGACGATTAAGCAGTATGACCTGCCTGGGCCTGAGTCCAAGGTTGGCCCCCTACTCAATGTGACTAGCCTGGTGATCTTTTTCTGAGTCTCAGTTTCCTTTGGTAAAAAATGGGAATATCCAGGGGATCTAGCTGACGGGATTCAATTGCTATAAGTACTAAATGAGGTCCTGCCCAGAGGTTGGCACACAGGGCTGTTCAGGAAATATTCTCTCTGGCTCTCTGGTTTCAAGCAGGACCCAGAGGCGAGGGTCAGGAGGAATGAGGGTGGGGGGTGGGGGACTAGGGGAGCGACATAACCAAGGGCTCTCAAAATGCAAAAAGCCACTTTGTTTTTATTTCCCCCTTCTGGTTACTTTCAGAAACTTGCTTTTCACTTTCAAGATTTGAAATGCAAATGTCTCTCTGAGCTATGGATCTCGCTCGCCCCCTACTGGTGTCTTCCTCCCAGAAGCCAATTTTTGTTTACTTAAATAGAATACATCCACAGACCTTAAGGATGCAGTTCAGTAGGTTTTAACAAATGTATGCACCCTGGTAACCAACCCCCAATTGAGACACAGAACATTGCTGTCACCCAAGAAGTGGCCACTGTGCTGCTTGTAGAAACTAACTTTGGTGAAACACCCCAACTGAACCCACAGCCCCCTCCTCCAACTTCCTCTCACCCCCAAGCTTTGAGCAAGTATCCAGCACCTGCTGCCTGCTCTCTCGCTCACCTGCCACCCCCTCCTCCAGCCTGGTCCCCTGGCTTCCGCCCAGCCCCCCAACCACCACTCGTGAAGGTCAAGCTGACCTCCTCATGGACAAATTCCCCGCTCTATTCTTAGTTGTCAACTGCCTTGACCCTCTGCGGTATTTGGCACTGAGCTGCTTGTCTTGTGGCCAAGAACAGGGTATTTCTATGTCTTTGGCTTCATGGACCGGGACATTTTTTCCTCCAAGACAGAGGAACAGTTAGAGAGAGTATTTTTTTTTTTTTACCTTGCCAGGAAATAATGGGAATCATCAAGAGAACGCTGCCTGAGCCCTGACCACCTGCCAACTCTCCCTTCTCATCAATCATCCACCACAACCACCCTCGGGTCTGTCCTGTCACCATCACCACTTTGCAGGTGGGCAAACCCGGGCTTGGAGGTGGGGCCATTTGCCTGGGGCACTGCTTCTCAAAGGTCCCTAAGGTACTTTCAGGAGGTCCACAGAACGATTTCCACGACTCTACAATGAATTTGCCTTTGTTCCTCTTATTCCAGAGGCCATGTGATGTGCAAGGATGTCGTCCCTCTGAAGGCTAATTGAATGTGTGTCTGGGCATCTTGGGTTTTAAAAATGTATGTCACTCAGGGAAATTTGAATATGTGCTTGGTATAAGATGAGACTAAAGAATGATTGTATATTTAAAAAAAAAAAAAAAAGTATGCCGCCCTGGCCGGTTTTCTCAGTGGTTAGAGCATTGGCCCACAGACCCGAGAGACCCGGGTTCAGTTCCCGCTAAGGGCATATACCTCGGTTGCAGTTTGTCCCCGACCCCAGCTGGGGTCGTGTCGGTGGCAACCACTCAATGTGTCTCTTTCACATTGATGTTTCTCTCTCTCTCTTCCTCCCTCTCTCCCTCTCGCTCTCTCTGAAGATAAATGCAAAAATGTCCTCAGGTGAGGACAAAAAAAATAATAATAAAATAAGATAAAATAAAAAATAAAAATGTATGTCATGGCCCTGGCCGGTATGGGTCAGCAATAAGAGCATCGGCCCTCAAACTGAAGTGTCGCAGGTTTGATTCCAGTTAAGGGCATGTACCTGGGTTGCAGGTTCGATCTCTGGCCCTGGTGGGGGTCATGCAGGAGACAACCAATTGATGTGTCTCTCTCATGGACTGTTTCTCTTTCTCTCTCTCCCTCCCTCCTTTCCACTTTATCTAAAGTCAATGAAAAAATATCCTTGGGTGAGAATTCAAAAAAATATAAACAGTCCAGCCAGTGTGGCTCAGTGGTTGAGCGTCGACCCATGCACTGAGAGGTTGCCGATTTGATTCCTGGTCAGGGCACATGCCCAGGTTGTGGGCCCGATCCCCAGTGGGGGGCATGCAGGAGGCGGCCAATCCATGTTCTCTCTCATGGATGTTTCTCTCTCTCTCTCCCTCCCCCTTCTGCTCTCTCTAAAATAAATAAAGAAAAAAAATAATTTAAAAAATAAAATAAAAATGTCTGTGATGGCCTGGCCGGTGTGGCTTAGTGGATTGAGTGTCGCCCCATGAACTGAGAGGTCTGGTTCAATTCTGGGTCAGGGCACATGCCCAGGTTGTGGGCTCGATCCTCAGTGGGGGGCATGCAGGAGGCAGCCAATCAATGTTCTCTCTCATCGATGTCTTTATCTTGCTCCCTCTCCCTTCCTCTCTCTCTAAAATCAATAAAGAAAAAAAATTGTAATAAAAAAATAAAAATAAATAATGGCTCATATTTATTGAAGAGATATCAAGGCACATGCCCTTGACCAGAATAGAACCCAGGACTCTTCGGTCCACGGGCCGATGCTCTAACCGCTAAGCCAAACTGGTCAGGGCTATGATATAAATTTTTTATGTTTTAATTTCTGATCAGGCAAGTCTTTTTTTTTAATCCTCACCTGAGGATATGTTTCTGATTTTAGAGAGAGAGGAAGGGAGGGGGAGAGAGAGAAAGAGAGAGAGAATAACATAGATGTGAGAGAAACATCAGTTGCTTCCCATCTGCATCCCAACTGGGGATCAAACCCAAAACCAAGGTATGTGCCCTGGATCGGGAATCGAACCCTTGACCCTTTGGTTTGAGGGCCGATACTCTAAGCACTGAGCCACATTGGCCAGGGCTCCCCAGCCTCTTGAGACCGGTGGCTAACTTACTGGAGTGCAAACAGCATGGTGTTAAGACAGAGCGCTTTTAAAAACACAACCACTGGCTAGTGTGGCTCAGCTATTAGAGCTTCAGCTTGCAGTCCAGAGAGACCCGGGTTCGGCATGTACCTCAGTTGCAGTTTGTCCCCAGCCCTGGTTGGTTGTGCGGGTGGCAGCCACTCGATATGTCCCTTTCACATCGATGTTTCTCTCTCTCTCCCACTCTATCTGAACAAAAATTGGAAAAGTGTCCTCAGGTGAGGATAAAAAAAAAAAATTAAAAACACAACCACAATACCGTTACCACATTAACAATTCTTTAACATCATTGACTATTCGGCTGGTGTTCAAATTTCCCTGATTGTTTCCCAACTGTTTTTTTGTCTCTTTTTTGCAGTTGGTTTGTTTGAATTCTGAACTGGTGGTTCTGAACCTCTTGGCAGAGGCCCCTGTGTTAAAGGAACCCAGAGGGCTAATAACATTGAAGGAAAACATCGACAGAAACAGGACACATTGAAAGCAGGAAAGAGAGACTCCCTAGGAGCAAATGCAAGCCTCTGAGACTTTCTATTAATAATAATTGCCCAGCCGGTATGGCTCAGTGGTTGAGCATCAACCCATGCACCAAGGGGTTTCCACTTTGATTCCTGGTCAGGGCACATGCCCAGGTTGTGAGTCAAATCCCCAGTAGGAGGCATGCACAAGGCGGCCAGTCGGTGTTCCGTCTCATCGATGTTTCTCTCTCCTCCCTTCCTCTCTCTCTAAAATCAATAAAGAAAAAAAAAAAGGTTCATATTTATTGAAGAGCTTTGGTAAAACCGGCCCTGTTCTAACTATTTTATACATATTATCTCCATCAAATTCCACAACCACCCAAATGGTTGCTACAAACAAAAAAACAGAGGCACAGAAAGATGGCCAAGGTCCTGCAGCGGGGGTTTGACCATCGCTGCCACCTGGCTGCAGGCAGCCTCGGGCACTGTGCTGGACTCAGTGTGGAACAGGACTGCTAGTGCGTGCCTGGTCCTTCTCCTGGAAATCCTGTGCCCTTCCTCCTCCCAGGCTCCATAGGAAAATCGCCTCTCTGGGAGGCCTGATCTCCACGCTGAGTTAGGAGTTTCTTGAGCTCTGATAATGCCCTGAGTTACCTCCATTAGAGCCACCACACCTCAGTATTTCCTCCTCTGGAGTAGGAGCCCCTAGAGCGAGGCCCTGGTCAGACTCCTGTCTGGGTGGCAGCACTGCCTGACACCTGGGAGATGGGGGCTCAGAGGTGTCATGATGGGATCAGCTAACCATTTCCACCACTTCCAATGTCAGGGGAAGTGTGTCTTCAATAAACTGATCACCCACCAATCAATGTATTTATCACAAAAGCACTAAAAAAAATAGAAATGATCATCATATCCTTTATTTTATTTTAAAATCCTCACCTGAGAACATTTTTCCATTTATCATCAGATAGAGTGGGAGGGAGGGAGAGAGAAACATTGATGTGAGAGAGACGCATAGATTGGTTGCCTCCTGCATGATCCCTGCCAGGGTCGGGGATGAACCACAACTGAGGTACCTGCCCTTGACCAGAATTGAACCCATGACTCTCCAACCACTAACACTCCAACCACTGAGCCAAACCAGCCAGGGCTCTCTCCTGCTCTTATAAGGAACCAACCCCATGGACTAGGACCCCACTCTTCTTTTGTTGTTGTTAATCCTCACCTGAATTTTTAGAAAGTGTGGAAGGGAAAGAGGGAAGGGGGAAGAGAGAGAGAAAACAGCATTAATGTGAAAGAGACACATAGATTGGTTGCCTCCCGCATGACCCGGACCAGGGCCAGGAATCAAACCTGCAACCCAATACATGCCCTTGACCAGGAGTCAAACCCGAGACCCTTCAGTCCATGGGCGGACACTCTAACCAGTGCTCAGGCCAAAGAACCTAAACTACCACAAAGACCCTATCTCTAGCCCTAGCCAGTTTGGCTCAGCGGTTGGAGCGTTGGCCCACAGACCAAACAGTCACGGATTTGATTCTGGTCAAGGGAACGTACCTCGGTTGCAGTTCAGTTCCTGGCCCTGGTCAGGATTGTGCAGGAGGCAACCAGCTGATGTGTCTCTCTCATATTGATGTTTCTCTCTTTCTCTCCCTCCCATTCTATCTGCAGATAAATGGGAAAAAAATATCCTCAAATGAGGATTAAAAAAAAAAAAAAAAGACCCGGCCCTGGTCAGTTTGGCTCAGAGGTTGAGCGTTGGCTTGCAGACCAGAGAGTCCCGGGTTCAGTTGCCGCTAGGGGCACGTACCATCAAAAAAAAAAAAAAAAAAAGACCCTATCTCCAAATAGTCATGTTGGGGGCTGGACTTCAACATACGAATTTGGAGGGAAAGGATAAACATTAAGTCCACAAACACCACCTGAAGCCCCACAACAATCTCACCACCCCAAAAGTGGGACAACCAGGCATTATGCAACATGAAGCTACCAATGTCAAAATGGCAGAACCCAAATTTAATCAAGCCTTTATATTTAACTTCCTGGCTAGTCCTAGCAGGGGCCCTTGCTCTTCAAGTCTAGGACTGGGCGTTGACCTAGTGGGAGCACCCCACTCCTAGGTGCTCCCATCCATCCAAGGGCACAGTTGCCCAGAGGATGCTCTTTTCCGGAACAGCTGGGGCGGGGGAGGGTGGGAAGCACAGCCTTTAGTTGCAGCTCACCTGGGCCTTCCCACCTTCTCTAGACTTGTACTGGGGTGGGATCTGGATTGATGGGGAAGGTTTTTAAGGGCCAGAGACGGATCTTTTCTAAATGTTATTACTTGTAAATAAAGTCTATTTTTCTCCCTTGGCTGCAAAAAAAAAAAATATATATATATATATATATATATATATATATATATATATATATTTAACTTCCTGGTTCTAGGAAGTAAGCAGATGTAGCAGGTATTGTTGACCAAAAAGAACCAGATAGGGCCCAACCCTATCAGTTGGTTGAATGCTGACCTGGGCACCGAAAGGTTGCTGGTTTGGGTACATACCTGGGTTTCCTTTCGATCCCCCATTGGGGCACATACAAAAGGCAACCCATCAATGAGTCTTTTCCACATCAATATTTCTTTTTTTCTCTCTCTCCCTCCTTCCTACTCTATCTAAAAATCAATAGAGAAATATCCTTGGGTGAGGATTAAAACAAACAAAAAAAGGATGAATCTTGAAAACATTACACTAAGTGAAAAGAGCCAGACAGAAAAATGATTCCATTTATGTGAAATGTCCAGATTAGGTCAATCCACAGAGATAAAAAGTAGATTTATGGTTGCCTGGGGCTAGGGAGAGCATGTAAAATGGGGAGTGACAGCTAATGGGTATTGGGTTTCTTTTTTTTTTTTTAGTCTTACTTTTTTATCCTTTATTGATTTCGAAGAGAGAGGAAGGGAGAGGGACAGAGAGAGAAACATCAATGAGAGAGAATACCTATTGACCGCCTCCTGCATGCCCCCCACTAGGGATTGGGCCCACAACCTGGGCATGTGCCCTGACTGGAATTGAACTGGTGACCTCTTGGTGCATGGGTCAATGAGTGATGAAAATGTTCTAAAACTGCAATGGTGATGGCTGTGCGGCTATGTAAATATACCAAAAACCACCGAATTGTAATCCTCATCCGAGGACATTTTTCCATATTTTGTTCAGATAGAGTGGGAGGGAGAGATGGAGGGTAGTGGGGGGGGGGGGAGAGAAACATCGACGTGAAAAGGACACATCAAGTGGCTGCCACCCGCATGACCAACCAGGGCTGGGGACAAACTGCAACCGAGGTACGTGCCCTTAGCAGGAACCGAACCCGGGTCTCTCGGGACCGCAGGCCGACGCTCCAACCGCTGAGCCAAACCGGCCAGGGCCATTTTATTTATTTTTTAAATCCTCCCAAGGATATTTTTCTAGTTATCTTCAGATAGAGTGTGGGGGGGGAGAGATAGAGAGAAACATTGATGTGAGAGAGACACATTGACTAGTTGCCTCCCGCTCCAGGGCCGAGGACAGCAACGGAGGTACCCGCCCTTGGCCGGAATCGAACCCGCGACTCCTTGGTCTGAGGGCCCACGCTCTAACTGCTGAACCAAACTGGCCAGGGCCCAATTGTACATTTTAAATGGGTTCACTCTATGTTAGTTTAAGTATATTCCAATAAAGCTTTTTTTTTTTTTATCCTCACCCGAGGACATTTTTCCATTTTTTGTTCAGATAGAGCGGGAGGGAGAGAGAGGAAGAGAGAGAGAGAGAGAAACATCGACGTGAAGGGACACATCGAGTGGCTGCCACCCGCACGACCAACCAGAGCCGGGGACAAACTGCAACCGAGGTACGTACCCTTAGCGGGAACCGAACCCGGGTCTCTCTGGACCGCAGGCCGACACACCAACGGCTGAGCCAAACCGGCCAGGGCCATTTTATTTATTTTTTAAAATCCTCCCAAGATACTTTTCTAGTTATCTTCAGATAGAGTGTGTGGGGGGGGATAGAGAGAAACATTGATGTGAGAGAGACACACTGACTAGTTGCCTCCCACTCCCGGGCCGAGGACAGGACAGCAACGGAGGTACCGGCCCTTTGCCGGAATCGAACCCGCGACTCCTTGGTCTGCGGGCCCACGCTCTAACTGCTGAACCAAACTAGCCAGGGCCCAATTGTACATTTTAAATGGGTTCACTCTATGTTAGTTTAAGTATATTCCAATAAAGCTTTTTTTTTTTTTTTTAAAGGCGGCCAGTAAGATTTGGGTTTGGCCTGCGGACGCCTGGCATGGAGGAACAAGTGAAATGAGATTACAAAGTAGCAAAAAACCAGATCCCGATGATGAGATGATCAACAGAATAACTGACCCAGTTTCTTCAGGGAATCGATGACACCAAGAAAAAAAACATAGTGGCGCGGAGGGTAGACGTCTCTAAATTAGGAGAAACTTAAGAGACACTGAGAGACGACTGTATTATCGAAATTCTGTCCCTGTCTCCCTCAGGACCCCACGGCTCTAGCCCTGGGAAAGGCTATCTCAGCAACACTATCCCCCCGCCTCCTGGAACTCACCTCACGAACGACCTCTGGTCCCTCCGCTGATTCTTCAACTGTACCCCTTCCGCGGAAAGGAGCGCTGTTTTCCCTCTTAGCTCCACCCACTTCCGCGCGGCGAAAGCAACCGGAAGTAGAGCTGCCCCTACTTGCGGAGGTACCTCATCTGGTTTGGTAAATTCTCCCTTCTTCTCTTCCTCCCGTCGGAAACGTAAGTGACAGATCGAAGGTTCCGGTTGGGGAAGCTGGCTTGAAGATGGGGCGCGCTTAGTATATACTAGGTATTTCCCGGGGCAGGCGATATCCTGCTTGTACCCACCGCTCTGAGTCTCCCCAAGCCCGAGTTTAAGGACTAATCACTTTCTCCAGAGATTGGGAACCCACTTTCTCAAATATATCATCCACTTTTCTTGTAAGTGAAGAGACAATTGAGAGGGGACAACTCCTCTGTCCCGATTTTATAAATGGAGCGATGGAGAAATCGAAAGTCAAAGCCCTTCAAATCACCCCAGGAAACAGGAATTTACCGCGGCCTACTCATCTACCCCTAGGGACCAAGGCATACAGCCCCTGCCAGTTTCTAGATATGAAGATATCTTAGACGTTTATTTCCCTAGATCGGCTGGGCGAGCTCCCGTCGGGGAAACGGGAGGAGCGGAGGAGGCGCCTATCCAGTTCCCTAAGTGCCCCACGGTGTCGTAGACCCTAGCTTCCTTATGGGGTCCTGGACCTCATGCCCTTCATCATAAGGTCCCTTTAAATATTTTGTCCCTTACCTGAGTCCCGCCCAGGACAGGTAGTCGCAAACCCCGCCCTTCTGCCAGAAACCGCGATGGGGAGGATTACTGGGAGCAGGAGCGGGAAGAACCCCTCCTTTTTCTTCCCTCCCCTCTCTCCTGCCCCTCTTCACAGCTGGCTGCAGCTGGCCTAAGAGGCTCCGATTGAGGAGGAGGGGATAGTGCTCACAAGTCTGGGCAGGTAAGTGAATGTCCCTGGAGGCAGAGCCTGGCTTGGGGCCCTTGGCATCCTGGCTCCCTGCCCCTCTGGGTCCTAGAAATTCAGGGTCCCCAAGCCCAAGAGTCCAGGGCTCCTGTCCCCTCCTCCCACTGGATCCAAGAATTTAGGCCCCTGTTCTTGCCTTTCCTGCTATCTTTATCTCTGTTGCTGGATGTGGCAATGGGCATAGAGGCAAGGGGATGCATGTGGAAATTACCAGGAGAGAAGGAATCCTGATCATCAATGGATATGTTTTTTTTGTTTTCTTTCTTTATTGATTTTAGAGATAGAGAAGAAGGGAGAGGGAGAGAGAGAGAACATCAGCTGGCCACCTCCTGCATGCCCTCCACTGGGGATTTGGCCCACAACCTGGCCATGCGCCCTGACCGAAAATTGAACCGGCGACGTCTTGGTGCATTGGTCAATGCTCAACCACTGAGCCACACCGGCCGGGCACCAATGGATGTTTATGAGCACCTACTATGTGCCAAAACTGTGCTAGTGGCTGCAGATAGAAAGGGGAAAAAGATAAGCTTCCTCCCCTGGCCAGTGTGGCTCATGGGTAGAGCGTCCGCCCATGGAGCAATGAGTCGCGGGTTTGATTCCGGTCAAGGGCATGTACCTCAGTTGCAGTTTGTCCCTGGCCCTGATAGGGTCATACAGGAGGCAACCAGTCGATGTGTCCCTCTCACGTCAATGTTTCTCTCTCTCCCTCTCTCTTCCTGCCTCCCACTTTATCTGAAGAAAAAAAAAGATAAGCTTCCTACTCCTGTCTCTGGAGGCATGCTTCCTTTGCTCAAATCCTGCTTTGAAGCTTGTAAACCATATGACCTTGGGCAGGTTCTTCTCTGTACCTCAGTTTCCCCATCTATGAAATGGAGATAATAATAGCACTGTTGTGAAAATTAAATTGAGTTGATGATATAGGTAAACTACCTTAAACAGTGTCTGGCCAGAATACAGACTATGGCACAGTCTGCTATTATTATTATATTCATGGGCCACAGAGTCCAGGCAGGAAGACCTTGTCTCATTCCTTAGGGGCTGAGGCTCTTGTCATCTATTCCACACCTCATTCCAGGTGGTCCACAAAATATGAGGGGCTGGGGACACCCCTCTCTGCTGCTGCTATACCTGGGGTTGACCACCTGCCTGGACACCTCACCCAGTGGGGAGCAAGACCAAGGTGAGTATTTGGGGAAGAGCTGGTGTTCAGGCTCTGACATCCACCTTCCCCTGACCCTGGAACCGTTGCCTCTAGTCCCCTGCTACCCCAGGGCCCCATAGCTGTCCTTCCCTTTGGGTTCAGATCCCTCCATGTCTCTTGTCCTCCATTTTTCTGTTCCCCATGTCCTTTGGGCCCAGAAGTCTTCTTGGACTCCCCCAAGGCCCAGAGCTTCCTGGGCAGCCACAGACGAATTCGTCGAGCCAATCACTGGGACTTGGAGATATTCACGCCAGGAAACCTGGAACGAGAGTGTATAGAGGAGAAGTGTTCCTGGGAAGAGGCTCGGGAGTTCTTTGAGGACAATACTAAGACGGTGAGAGCCTGGGGGCCCCGAAGTCCCTTTCTTTTCCAGGCCCTGGGGGGTCCTGGCCCTCAATTCCTTCTACCCTCTGGTCTCAGAAATCTGGGTGGGCTGGTTTGGGCATGTAGAATCTTTCAGTTGACAGCTGTCTTTCCATCTTCTCTACTCCCACCCTTTCAAGGAGCGCTTCTGGGAGACATATATCTACAATGGCAAAGCAGGTGAGTGGGAGGCCAAGCCCTCTTGTTCTGTGCAGCTAAGGCAGCCCCTTCCCATGGAGCCTGAAACAACATTCCCACCCCAAATCCTGTGATCCCTGAGTTCCTGGAGGTGGTTGTTAAAAGCGTCCTCTATTTTGAGACTAGAACGGAGGTCTGAGGAACCCACCACACCTCATTTGAAGAGGTCCCAAGTTCCCAGAGAGTGGAAAGTGATAGAGGAGAGAGGAGTTACAGCCTGGGGCCTATCAGGCCTCAGGCTCAGAGATGCTGGCCCACCTAAACCCCTCTTTGGAGTCCAGAGCCCCAGCCCTATGCAGCTTGGTTGCTAAGGGGGGTTTTCCCTAGCAACAGGGCCTGGTCAGGCCAGGCCATGGAAACCTGTACATTCTCACCTGAGTAGTCTGTCCACCCTCCAACTCTCCTCTGAGTTCTGAGGCCCTGTCATGGCTGTAGCTTTGCTGCTAAGGGGGAGGGGCTGCTCCTTAGCAACAAGGCCTAGCCAAGCCAGACCAAGGAAGACTGCAGCCCTCACTACCTGGCTGGCTTCCCCTCCCCCACTGCCCATCCCAGTCTCACATGGTTGCTAAGGAGGCCTTCTTCCTAGCAACCACACCTAGCCAGCCAGGCTCAGGACCCTAGGCCTCCTGCCCACCAGAGGACCACCCTCCAGGCACCAGACGCCCCACCCCCTTGTGGCCTGGTTGCTAAGGGTGGATGTACCATAGCAACAGGCCCTAGGTCTGGGCTGGAGTCCTCACATTGGAGCCCGGTTGCTAGGGGAGGTAACTGCGTTGCTAAGGGCCTATGGATGCCTGGTTATTCCTTGAATCCACCTGAAACATGTCAGTGCAGCTTTTTGCTAAGAGGGCTAAAAGCTTGGGGTTTACTGTTTAAGGAAAGCCCCCCTCCCAGTGCTCAGTTGATCTCCCCAGCAGTAAGACCTAGCAAGGCTTCATGAAGCTGGAGTTGTCCCTGCACCTCCACATACTTTCCTCAGTTGGGAAGCCTTGGATTGCTAAAGGAAAGGGGCCTTAGGAAAGGGGCCACGTGAGTTCTAGACACCCAGCAATCTGTTACTGGAGGGAGATCCCTAAGTTCCTCCATTGATAAATGAATTTTTTTCTAGCCTTCTGGTAAATTCCAAAGGCTTCCTGTGGGTTCTACTCTTCCTTCAGAGTTGAGACCTTGACTCTCAGTAGCCTGGTTGGTAAAAGGAGCTGCATTCCAGAGGGGGCAGGATTGCCAGATAAAATACAGGAACTATCCCCCATCCCCTTCCTCAGTTAAGTTTCAAATACATATGAATAATTTTTTTTTTAATTATTTATTTTTTCATCCTCACCCGAGGACATTTTTCATTCAGATAGAGTGGGGAGGGAGAGAGAGAGAAAGAAACATCGATGTGAAAGGGACACATCGAGTGGCTGCCACCCGCACGACCCAACCAGGGCTGGGGACAAACTGCAACCAAGGTACATGCCCTTAGCGGGAACCGAACCCGGGTCTCTCTGGACCACAGGCTAACACTCTAACCACTGAGCCAAACCGGCCAGGGCCATATGAATAATTTTTTTAGTATAAGTATGTCCTATTGAATATATAGGATATATCTATACTAAAAGATTATTCATTGTGTATCTAAAGTTTTGTGAGGTATCCTATATTATTGTTTGTTAAATCTGGCAGTGTTCAGTTGGCTACCTGATGTCCCTACCCTACCTGTAGTATATCACCTGCGATCATATTTACTTTTTTTTATCCACACCCGAGGACATTTTTTTGCATTTATCTTCAGATAGAGTGGGAGGGAGAGAGGGGGGAAGAGAAAGAGAGAAACATTGATGTGAGAGACACATTGAGTGGTCACCACCCACAGAACCCCAACCAAGGCCAGGGATAAACTGTAACCGAGTTACGTGCCCTTAGTGGGAACTGAATCCAGGACTCTTTGGTCTGTGGGCCGAAGCTCTAACAGCTGAGCCAAACTGGCCAGGGCTCACCTGCAATCTTAGCAGATGGATTGCTTAGGGCGGTCTTGAACCATCCCATGTTCAGGGTAGGACCTCTATCATCCAGTACTAGATGTAGTTATCATAGGCCTTTTATGCATTTAATCTCATTGACTTTTTGTAACCTGTCAGAGAGGGGTTATGGTCCCATTTTACAGAGTAGGAAATGGAGAAATGAGTGAGGTGAGTTGCCTGAGGTCAGTTCTAGGAAGTGGCCCCAGCTCTGCCTTGCTACTTGGCCAGTATTCCTCCCTCAGGGGAAAGGCATTTGCATGTTGGGGTGGGTGGCAGCCTCTGAGGCAGTGGCTTCTTCCCTCCCCCTCCTCCACAGGGCGTGGACGAGTGGATGTAGCAGGCCTGGTTGTGGGGCTGACATCTGGCATCCTGCTCATTGTGCTGGCCGGCCTGGGAGCCTTTTGGTATCTACATTGGCGACGTGGCCGAGGCCGAGGCCGAGGCCAGCAAGTCAGTCTTCAAGAGTAAGGAGGCTTCAGGGAGGAGGAGCTGGGGGGGTGGGGTGCTGGAGAGGAGGAAGGAAGGGTCAACCTAATGAGATGGGCCAAGGATTTAGGGCAGGTGGGTGCTGATGAAATAGCTGAGGAGATAGTCATGTGGAGAATGAGTCTGTGAGATTGTGTCTAGTTGTGGCATGTCTGTCTGCCTGCCTGGATTCTCGGTACCTGGCACACAGTAGGAGTGCAATCAGTATTTGCTGCCTGTCTTTGCAATACCAGGTTTCTGTGTGATTATCACTCTGAATGTTGGATCTGGTGAAGCTGCAGCCTGTGGTCTATGGGTGTCTGTGGTATGTCAGTTTCCGTGGTACAGGGTGTAGCAGATGTTTGTGTGTGCCTGTAGGAGTTTTCTAGGTGTGTCTTTCTCAGTGGCAGGGTCTAAAAAGGTGCTTGAGTGTCAGTCTTGGAAGTATAGTGGGTCTGGGGACTTTTAAGAAGAGTTTATTGTAAGTGGGTATCTCCATGTTGTGTCTGTTTCTGTGTATGTCCACCTGCCTCTCTGAAGCCTGTCTTCTTTTCCATTTCTCTGCCTGTATCTGGAGTACCTGTGTGTCTGGATAAGAGTCTCTCAGCAGTGGTTGATTTCTGGGTCTGCCTGTCCCTGTGCATCTGCCTGTCATTTTGAGGTGCTTTTCTGCATGTCAGATTGAAGGTGACCTCTTTCTCCCTGGTTCATCTCCCTTCCACCTGTTCCCTTACCATCCTCAGAGTCTCTGCGTCCCTAAGTCCTCCCTCCTTCTCCCAAGTCTTTCTATCCTATAGGTTTCCCCTGCTAACTGTGTACCTTCTCTCCCCAGGCCCGAGCTCATCAGCCCTATGAGTCCCCTGAACTCTCCAGGTCCGCCAATGCCCCTGTCACCACCCCAACCCCCAGGCCTCCCCACCTACGAACAGGCTTTAGTGGCCTCTGGGGTGCACGACGCACCTCCACCCCCCTACACCAGGTGCGGAGCTGACTTTTGCCCGGGGGCGGGGCACAGAGGGGAGGGCACTGCTGGAGGAGGGGCGTGATTTCGGGGGCGGGACTTGGAATTTTGAGTATTATTCCGGGCGAGGTTTGAGCGCGGGGGGCGTGGCCCAGCCATAAGAGTGTGGAGCTTTGAGGAGGGTGGATCTTGTGTCCAGAGGGTCTGGGATTGGCTGGGACGCCCAGGGCGGGTCGGAATGGTCTTGGTTGGGTGGGGGTTGGAGGGGGAGGAAAAACAGCCGGGTCTTTGACTCCCCACTTTGCCCCTCCCCATGCAGTCTCCGGAGGCCTCGCTGAAGAGCTACTTCGGAGCCGGGGTTCCCCGAACCGTGCCCCAGATTCACACCGGATTCCGGAAGCCCCCAAGCCTCTTAAACTGTGGAACTGAGCTTGGGCAGGGGAGGGTGGGGTGGGAGTAGGGGTCCTTTGGCTCGTGGCCTACCCTGGCACACGTGTTTCCGCCGCGTACGGATACACGCAGGTCCCCGCGAAAGTGTTCCCGCGTTCCGGCACCTCGCGGGCTCCAACGCTCTCTTGACCTTGGGGGTACCCTCCAGCCCCGCCCCCGAGGTAGGCTTGCCGTGGAAACTCGGACCCAGGCTCGCAGGCCGAGTGTGCAGACGCGTGTGGGGCTTGACACGGCCATCTCCAGTGCCTTGGGCCACACAGGCAGAACCCCGCCCGTGCACACGCATGTCTTCGTGCGCTCCCCGTGCGTGTACAGGGCCACTTTGCAACCCAGGGAAAGGGTGGGGGGCATATTTGCAACCGTCCTCGTTGGAGGCAGGCTCTTCTAAATAAAAGCTCTTTGGAAAAGAAACCAAAACAAGTGAAAGAATGCAAAAAAATAAAATAAACTGAATCGCGATCCCAGGCGCTTGTGCGTAGTGGAGCTGGTTTTCGGTACTAATGTTGCGACCTACACCCCCAGGCCCTGCTTGTGCTCTCGTTCACTCTTTTTTTTTTTTTTTTTTTGCATTTGCACGGGATTGTGGGAGGAAGCGGAGCGCAGCCAGACACCCCGCCGCCCGCCCCCCCTTCCCCTCCCCCCTCCCCCAGCCGCCTTGTGCAAAGATGGCTGCACCGTGAGCGCAGCGGAGGAGGAGGCGGCGGCGGCGGCGGCGAGAGAGCGAGCACCCAGCGCCCGCACCCACCCCGGGGCCGCCCGGGACGCCCCCTCCTGAGCGCGCGCTCCCCCTTTTTCTCTTGCAAGCGCCGGGGCAAAGGCGGAGACAGCGGGGTCCCTCCTCCCCCCTTTCCCTCAAGGGGGAACCCCCCTTCCCCCCTCCTTGGCTCGGCGGCTGCACCCCCTCCCTTGCCCGCCCCTCTGCCCCGTCCCCTCCCTCCCCCGCCCGGGCCCTTCCCGGGCCTTCGGCGGCAGCAAAGAAAAAAAGAGAGAGAGAAGGGAAAAAAAAGCAGCAGCGGAGGGAGCGGCGGCGGAGGAGAGCGCGCGCGCGCCCCCTCCCTCCCTCCCTCCCCCTCCCCCTCCCCCCAATTTCCACCGCGGCCAATTCATGGACAGGAACTACCCCAGCGCCGGCTTCGGGGACCCGCTCGGCGCCGGGGCGGGATGGAGTTACGAGAGGTCAGCGAAAGCTAGGTAAGGAACCGAGGGTGGCCTGGAGGAAGGGGCCAAGGGGTGGGGACCAAACCGGGCCGTGCCGGGCCCGGCCCGCCCGGCGACGCGTGCATCGCAAACTCCCCTCCGGCTTGCAAGGGAGCGGCCTTCCTCGGTTTGCAACAACGCCGCCGCCCCAGTTTGCAAATTGCAAACTCCGCCAAAGCCAGCTCCGGCATGCAAAGGGAAAGATGCAGCGGGAAAATGCGGGTGCAAAACAATTTCGGACGGAAAGGCCTTGGGAAGGTGGGAGGGACTGGTGAAGCAAGGCCTGGATTTCCCCCCATCTTTGGATTCCCGGTTTGCTGACCCCTCCCCCCGGCGCCCCAGGCTCTGCTCTTGCAAAGGTGGAAAGGAAAGGAGAATTAGAGCGCAGACCTGGGGGCGCGCCCCCCTCCCAGGTCCCATTGTTCGGGGACTGCGCGAGGCCACGCCACTCGCCCCCCCCCGAAATTCCGCGCGCAGAGTGGGCACGGGGCCCCGCCCCCTTCCTAAGCTGGGGTTCCATGTGTAAGGGGGGGGTCCTGGTATCTGAGACACGCCCCCTTTAACTCCCCACCCCCAAAGGCAGGGAATCCTAGTTAATGGCGAGGAGTGGAGTGTTTGACCTCTTTGAGTCTGGGCCATGGAGTGGGGCCATTATTGCATGGGAAGATTCGGGTATTTGGTTGTGTGTGTGAGTGTGGACCATCTGCGTGTGGTAGCTGGTAGTGTGCTCGCCTGCGATTCTGCCCCTTGCCTACTGTTTGTGTCGTGCCCTCACTCTTCACCTGCCCCGAACCACCTCCCTCCCCCACACACCTGGGTTTCCCAGCATGGCTGGGCATGACCACACGTGTGTCCCATGTGGGATTCTTCCCTCTATATGCTTCCCCACGGGTGAGTTGGATACTCTTTGCACACATACTTGGCTTTGCATGGTTCCATGCATTTTAACCTCGGTACCAGGGGTTGGACGGTGTTCATGTTCGCACTTGTACCTGGTACTTGACTCTTCCCTCCTCATCCCACATCCCTGCCATTTGGGGAACAATCTGTCTCCTGCCCCAGACTGGTTTTGCACCACCCGGTGATGTTAAGGGCCTGTGTGTTTCCATGTGCGCAGCTCTGGGATTGGCCCTAGGGTCTTGGTGTCACCAGCAGGATGGGGGCCTGTATGTGGTAGGAGGTCCACATTTTCAACTGGAGACACTTTCTCTAACTCAACTCTCTGTGTTTGTCTCATCCTCGTGCATGTCTGTTTGTGAACGTGAGACTATATGGGCTCTATTTACTGGGACTCGGGTCTCTTTACTGCTGCTGGGGCTCAAGTGGGAACCATTTCTATGGCTCTTTAGTTGGGCACCCGATTCCCTTGCCTTCTTTTCCTTTAGGGCCCAGTGTTCCTTAGGTTAACCCTCATTCAGCTGGAAGATTTCCCCCAACTTCCCGAGGGATTTGCTTGCTGAGTTCTCTTCTCCGAGGGCAGCTTCAGAGGATACCCTAACTTCTTCCCTTTCCCCCCAGCTTGGTCTATGGCAGCTCCAGGACCTCGCACCCCGAGACGGACATCTTACACCGCCAAGCCTACGGGGCCCCCCACCCTCTGCAAAGCTATGCCACCAACCACCACCCTGCAGGTACGGGCTCCCGTCCCGCCCCGCCTGAGCTGGCCCTCCCTCCTAGGCAGCTGATTGGCTAATGAAAGTTCCACCCCTTCTAATTGGCCTTGCCCTGCGTCCTGGCCCGCCCCTTTAATCTTTCCTCTGATTGGTTGATCTGAGGCTGCTTAATTTCATACCGGATTTGTCAGCCTCTGTCTCTGGTCCCGCCTATTTTGCTCCAATTGGTCCCATCCCCACAGCCCCCAAATCCCACCTTCTCTTCCAGGCTTTTCCGCCTCTCCAGCCCACCCAATTATTTCCTTCTGGGCTTGCCCATTCTCTGGGCTCCTTGGTTCTCTCAACTCTTTCCTTCTGATTCCCGTTCTTCCTGATTGGCAGTGATTCTTTGGACCGCCCTCTTTTTCCTTAGACTTGACACTACCTTATGTGGCTCTGTCTCGGAGGCTTGTGATTGGCCCCCTTCCTTTGATTCTACCGCCCTCATTCCTTGATAGACCAGCAATGAGACTGGAGTCCAATTTGATCCTTGACCCTCTTGGTGGCTTCTTTTTTCCTTCCCGTCTTTGTTTTTCTGTATCTTCTCACTTTGACTCAGTCCCTTGCTTCTTGTCCTCTAGTTCTCAGTGGCCTCAGTCATTTCATTTCATCCCATCCCTTCCCTTCCCCTTGCTGGAATTGTCTAAATATTTTGGTCTCACTCTGTGCTCCTAGTCATTACAACTCCCTGCCCTTTTGCTCTCACTTCCTTCACTTCTGGATTTTTCTAAATTCCTTTGTCTACCTTTCTGTTTTTGGACTCCCTGCCCATATGATAGCATTGTACTCCATCTTGCTTACTGTCTCCTTAGCTTGTCTCTGCCCACTTTTTCCCCCTTCTCTCCAATCCCTTTCCTTGACCCAACTTGCCTTTGGCCTCTTCCCTTTCAACCCTGCCCTATCCTCTATCTAGCTGACTACCCCTTGTTCCTGATCAGGCCTCTCTGGACTCTTCGACACTGGCCTCCACCACGCGGGCTCAGCAGGGCCTGACGCCTCCGTCATGAACCTCATCTCTGCCCTGGAGTCCCGGGGCCCCCAGCCAGGCCCCTCTGCCTCCTCTCTCCTCTCCCAGTTCCGCAGTCCTTCCTGGCAAACAGGTAAGCCCATTGCCAACGTAAGAGGGCCAGGGTCGGGGTGGCTTGTGGTCCACCCTGACCTATGGTCTCCTCCATCATCCCCAGCCATGCATACGCCAGGTCCCACGGAGCTCTTCATCTCAGGCGCCCTGCCGGGGTCCAGCACCTTTCCATCCTCTTCTGCCCTGTCGGCCTACCAGCACCCGGCTTCCTTCGGCAGCCGCCCCTTCCCAGTGCCCTCATCCCTTAGCCTCCAGGACCCCCCATTCAGTCCCCCAGCTAATGGGCTCCTGTCTCCTCATGATGTGCTGCACCTAAAGCCCTCGCAGGCACCCACAGTGCCCTCCTCGCTAGGCTTTGAGCGCCTGGCAGGGGGTGGTGTCTTGGGTCCCGCTGGTCTAGGCCCAGCCCAGACCCCTCCTTACCGCCCTGGCCCTCCAGACCCACCTCCACCTCCCCGACACCTCCCAACTCAGTTCAACCTGCTGGCTTCCTCTTCTGCTGCTGCTGCTGCTGCTGAGCAATCCTCCCCACAGCTCTACAACTTCTCGGGTGCTGCCCCAGGCCCACCGCCTGAGCGGGCCCTCCCCCGTCAGGACACCGTCATCAAGCACTACCAACGGCCAGCCAGTGCCCAGCCCCCACCGCCCCCACCACCAGCCCATGCCCTCCAGCACTACCTGAGCTGTGGAGGCAGCTATCCCTCCATGGGCCATAGAGCCAACCTGGCCTGCAGCCCCCTGGGTGGTGGGGAGCCTTCCCCAGGTTCTGGTGAGCCTAGCAAGGCTGGGCCCAGTGGAGCCACAGCCGGAGCATCAGGCCGGGCTGCGGGCCCTGAGGGGGCCGGAGGAGGTGGGGCAGCAGGTGGTGGTGGAGGTTACCGCCCCATCATTCAGTCACCTGGTTACAAGACGGGCAAAGGTGGTTATGGAGCAGCTGCGGGTGGTGCCAACAGGCCCCCACCACCTCGTTCAACTGCTACACCCAAATGCCAGAGCCTGGGTGGTCCAGCAGCGGCCTATGCCACTGGGAAGGCCTCTGGGGCTGGCGGGGCGGGAGGCCAGGCCTATTCTCCTGGTCAGCCCCAGGGGCTTCTCGGACCCCAGGCCTATGGGCAAGGGTTTGGAGGGGGTCAAGCACAGGACTTGAGCAAAGGCCCTAGCTACTCTGGGGGGCCTCCGCAGCCCCCAAGCGGCCCCCAGCCTCCTGGCCTAGCCACGTGTCAGAGCTACTCCCCTGACCAGCTGCAGGGGCAGCTGTATGGGGTGCAGGGTGAACCGTACCCAGGACCAGCTGCCCACTCCCAGGGGCTGCCAACAGCTAGCCCCTCACTCAGCTATAGTACTGGCCATTCCCCAGCGCTCTCAGGCCATGGAGGTGGCTGGGGTCCCAGCTCCTTGGGTGGCGGTGGAGAGGCTAGCCCTTCGCACATCATCCGCCCACTGCAGTCGCCACCTGCCCCTGGTCGCCCACCTGGAGTCGGCTCTCCAGGAGCCCCTGGCAAATACCTGAGCTCCGTCCTGGCCTCAGCCCCATTCCTGGCACCTCCAGGAACTGGCAGCTATGCAGCTGGAGCAGGTGGCTATAAAGGCAAGGGAGATGGCTCAGAGCTGCTGGCAGGCCCCGGGGGGCCTCCTGCTGAGCGCACTGAGGATGAGGAATTTCTCATCCAGCACCTCTTACAGGCGCCTAGTCCCCCGAGGACCTCAGGAGCTGATGGCTTGGTGGGCGAAGATGGGGCAGCAGATGCCTCCAAAGGACTTGGGGGGAGTGGTGGGGCTGGGGGTCCCCCGGGCACACCCTATGAGCTGGCTAAGGAAGACCCCCAGAGGTACCATCTGCAGAGTGTCATCCGTACCAGTGCCAGCCTTGATGAGGGTGCCACAGCGGCCCTGGAGCTAGGCCTGGGGAGGCTGAAGGAGAAGAAGAAAGGTCCAGAACGGGGTGGTGAGACCCCTGAGGGGCTAGCCACCTCAGTCGTCCACTATGGGGCAGGTGCCAAGGAACTGGGGGCTTTTCTCCAAAAGAGCCCACCACCCCCACCTCCCTCGGCCCAGCCTTCCCAGCCCACCGCCCATGGCCTCCTCCTGGAGGCTGGGGGCCCTGACCTCCCTCTGGTGCTGCCTCCTCCTCCCCCACAACTGCTTCCCTCAGTTCTCAGCCACACCCCTAGCCCCTCTTCTAGCACCCCCAAAGTTGGAGTCCATCTCCTTGAACCAGCCACCCGTGATGGGGCGCCCCAACCACCTCCGCCGCCTCCCCCACCTCCGCCACCCATGCCTCTCCAGCTCGAGGCCCATCTCCGCAGCCATGGGCTGGAGCCTGGTGCCCCCAGCCCCCGCCTGCGACCCGAGGAGAGCCTGGAGCCGCCAGGTGCCATGCAGGAACTGCTTGGGGCCCTGGAACCCCTGCCCCCAGGGCCCGGTGACACTGGTGTGGGCCCACCTAACACCGAGGGAAAGGATCCCTCAGGTGCCTACCGCAGCCCCAGCCCGCAAGGCACGAAGGCCCCCCGCTTTGTGCCACTCACCTCCATCTGCTTCCCTGACTCCTTGCTTCAAGACGAGGATCGCAGCTTCTTCCCCACCATGGAGGAGATGTTTGGCGGAGGGGCAGCAGATGACTACGGCAAGGCTGGACCGCCCGAGGACGAAGGTGATCCCAAGGCGGGCACCGGGCCCCCTCCTGGCCCCCCTGCCTATGATCCCTATGGGCCCTATTGCCCAAGTCGGGCATCTGGAGCAGGGCCAGAGACGCCAGGCCTGGGCCTCGACCACAACAAGCCACCTGAGCTGCCCTCCACAGTCAACGCTGAGCCTCTGGGCTTGATCCAGAGTGGGCCACACCAGGCCACCCAGCCGCCCCCACCGCCCCCTCCACCACCACCTGCCTCAGAACCCAAAGGAGGCCTAACCTCGCCCATCTTCTGCTCTACCAAGCCAAAGAAGCTGCTCAAGACATCCTCCTTCCACCTGCTACGGCGCCGTGACCCTCCCTTCCAGACGCCCAAGAAACTGTATGCCCAGGAGTACGAGTTTGAGGCAGACGAGGACAAGGCCGATGTGCCTGCTGACATCCGCCTCAATCCCCGGCGTCTGCCTGACCTGGTGTCCAGCTGCCGCTCCCGCCCAGCCCTCTCTCCGCTCGGTGACATTGACTTCTGTCCACCCAACCCCGGCCCCGATGGCCCCCGGCGCCGTGGCCGCAAGCCCACCAAGGCCAAGCGTGATGGCCCACCCCGACCCCGGGGACGGCCCCGGATCCGCCCGCTGGAGGTGCCCACCACCACTGGGCCAGCCTTGGCCTCCGCGCCCACTGATGGGGCCAAGAAACCCCGGGGTCGGGGACGCGGCCGGGGCAGGAAGGCTGAGGAAGCAGGGGGCACCCCGCTGGAGCCCCTGAAGCCACTTAAGGTGAGGGCGAATGGACCCCGATGCCTGAGTCTTAGAAAAAGGAAAGGGTTGCCCCACGTTTGAAGTTCTTGAATATGATGGGGGATATGGTTCATATTTCTGAACCCTGTGAGGAAATAAATCGGAGGGCTGGAATGGCAGGATTCCTCTGTTGAAATTCGAGAGTTGACACTTGGGGTTTTAGAGGGAGGCAGGAGGTTGGAGCTCTTGCGTTCTTATCCGTCGGGTGTCCTAGATTCCTTGGTCTTGGTGCAAGGTCCGGAGCCCTGGGCTCTTGGGCTGAGCAAGGAGAGAGGTCAGTGAGTAATAAAAGGATGGATTTGAGTCCTGTCATTCTGGAATCAAAGAAGGAGTCTGTGGACTTAAATTTGAGGAATCTATAGGCTGAGAGTGGCAATTTGAACTTCAGGGTGTAAAGTGTGAAGGGGGCTGGGATTCTGGATGCCTGGGTCTGAGGGAGGAGGGGACTTGGGGCCTGACTCTTGGGCCCTGACTCCCCACTGCTCCTGTGTCTAGATCAAGCTGTCTGTGCCCAAGGCTGGTGAGGGTTTGGGAGCCTCATCTGGTGATGCCGTATCAGGCGCTGACCACAACAGCTTGGACTCGAGCCTGACTCGGGAGAAGATTGAGGCCAAGATCAAGGAGGTAGAGGAGAAGCAGCCAGAGATGAAGTCTGGCTTCATGGCTTCCTTCCTGGACTTCCTCAAGTCAGGCAAGCGCCACCCACCACTCTACCAGGCCAGCATGACACCTCCACTCAGCCCCCCCAAGAACGTGCCACCCTCTGTGCCCACCCGCGGCCTGCAGCCCCAGCCCCCCAATGCCCCCACCGTGCCACACCCCCCGCCCACTGGCACCTTTGGGCTGGGAGGCGCGCTCGAGGCTGCTGAGAGCGAGGGGCTGGGGCTGGGCTGCCCTTCGCCCTGCAAGCGCCTGGACGAGGAGCTGAAACGGAACCTTGAGACGCTTCCCTCCTTCTCCTCTGATGAGGAAGACTCTGTCGCCAAGAATCGGGACCTGCAGGAGAGCATCTCTTCGGCCATCTCTGCCCTCGACGACCCGCCCCTTGTTGGGCCTAAGGACACCTCCACCCCGGAAGGGCCTCCCTTGGCTACTGAGGCTCCAGTCCCAGGGCCACCCCCTCTCCCAGGGCTCCCCAGTGCCAGCAGCAATGGCACGCCTGGTGAGCTCTGGGAAGATGGTCCAGGGGCGGGGCAGGGGTTTCCTGTTATGCGGGACACTGGGTACGGTTTTGCGGATTATGTACTGTTTAAGGGACACTGTGTTAGATGATGTAGATTTGCATATTTACGGAGGTAACTTTTGATGAGGGCAAACAAATGTTTTGAGAAAGGGGTGTTTTTTTCCTGATCTGCCCACAGATGCTAAGCAGACTAGGAGGGGCCCCAAGGTGGGCACTGGAGAACTCGGGGGGACAAGGCAGGTTATGAGTGATGGAGATAGTTGGGTAATGGGGTACTCTGAGCTTTTAAAACTCGCAAGGGATTTAGGCCCTGAGAAGGGCTCTGAAGTTAGTGATGTGTAATAAAAGACGGGAAGGTGTCCAGGGGCAGAGAGAGATTTGGAGGGAGTAGTTGAAAAAGAAACAGGAACACTGACTAGTCAGGTATCGTGGGGGGTGGTGGAGGGGAAGGCCACGGGTGTATGGTTGGGTGTGAATAGGGTTTTGTCCTGAGAGAAACTTTGGACAAAATTTAAGGGCCTTTGATGCAGGTAACAGGTGTTGGGGGTTTGGAGGAGGGCATTTTAGGCAGTTAATGAGGGGCCTTGAGGACTCAGAGAGGATGTTAGAAAAACCCTAAGGAGAAGGTCAATTATTCTGAGATTGGAGAAGGATCTGGATGCAGGAGGATGAAACCTGAGCTGGAAACGAGGAAGTAGAGGCACAGAGGGAATGATTTCAGAATTGGGAAGAACAGGAAGGCGCGGGGATTAGAGCCAGGCCACATTCAGGATGGGAAACACGTTTCAGGAGCTCTGTTTAGTGCTGGAGCTGAGAAGGGGCCTCAGGGAGAAACTCTGGCCTGGCAGAGAGCTATGGAGGACCTGAGTGGCAATAAGGGGCAGAGGGGCTGCTGTTGCAGGAAGGGACATTCAGATTCAGGGACAAGCAGAGAGGTTCTGGGGGATGGCAGGTGGTAACAAGGATGCATGTCAGGGCAGGACAAGGAGCTTTGTAGGGACTAGGCTGGGGAACGGGAGAGATGACCAGAGTTGGGGGACAGTTGAGCCATGAAGAGAGCATTTTAATGGGATAGAAGAGGCCTGACCATGGGGAGCAGACACTGAGCAATGGTATTGGGACACAGCTATCTTAAGACTGGGTCTTTCAAGGCTGGGAAAAGACAGCCAGAAACAAAGCAGTATGTCTGGGTAGGAAGAGTGAATAGAACATTGGAGAGAAGTTAAAGGGACGTGAGCTTCCTGTGAGTGTCTGGGGACAAGTGGGTATTGAATGGCATCGGTGAGCAGCTTCAGACATCAGCTTTGGAGGAGCGAGAGCAACAGAATGATGAGAGGAAGGGAGGGCGCACAGAGGTGTGTGGTAGCTGAAGAACCCCATTTCGTCAGGAGGCATGTTGGGGTGCAGGGAAGGCTGGGTTGGCACTCGGTAGAGGAGACTAGGAAAGGGCTGGGAGGGCCTTTGACAACAGAAGGAATAGTGGGGACTTGAGGGACATGCTGGGATGTTGATGGACAGCAGGTTGAAGCTTCGGGAGGTGGGGGGTTTCTGGGGGTCCAGCTCTGACACCCCTCTCACCCCCTAGAGCCCCCGCTGCTGGAGGAGAAGCCCCCACCCTCTCCGCCGCCTGCCCCAACGCCCCAGCCGCCACCCCCACCGCCAGCCCTACCCTCGCCACCCCCGTTGGTGGCTCCTGCCCCGGCCCCGGCCCCAGCCCCAGCCCCGGCTCCCATCCCCGAGTCCAGCTCTCCACCTCCACCTCCGCCACCTCCACCTCCACCTCCACCTCCACCTCCACCAGCCCTGCCTTCGCCACCCGCCCCGCCACCCCCGCCAGCCGCCGCCCCGCCCGAGGAGCCCGCCGCCCCGTCCCCCGACGAGCCCGAGCCTCCGGACGCCCGGCCCCTGCACTTGGCCAAGAAGCAGGAGACCGCAGCCCTGTGCGGGGAGACGGACGAGGAAGCCGGCGAGAGCGGCGGGGAGGGCATCTTCCGCGAGCGCGATGAGTTCGTCATCCGCGCCGAGGACATCCCTTCCCTCAAGGTGAGTCACCAGCCTGCCTCGGGCCGGATGGAAGTGGTCCCGGAGCGCAGGAGCGCAGGCCGCGCGGCAGGTGCAGCCATGGCCCCGATGGCCCGCGGCAGGTGCAGCCATGGCCCCATGGCCCGCGGCAGGTGCAGCCATGGCCCCGATGGCCCGCGGCAGGTGCAGCCATGGCCCCGATGGCCCGCGGCAGGTGCAGCCATGGCCCCGATGGCCCGCGGCAGGTGCAACCATGGCCCCGATGGCGCGCGGCAGGTGCAGCCATGGCCCCGATGGCGCGCGGCAGGTGCAGCCATGGCCCCGATGGCCCGCGGCAGGTGCAGCCATGGCCCCGATGGCGCGCGGCAGGTGCAGCCATGGCCCCGATGGCCCGCGGGCCGCGGTTCACCGCCGCTGGCTGCTGGGAGGGGACAGCGGGGGACACGCCTGCCCCGGGTGTTACTTCGTGTGTGTGTTACCTGTAAATAAGGTGCAGCGATGGTTAACCGTTCATTGCAGCTGTCTTGGTTGCTAGGGTTATAGTGAGGAACAAAGCAGGTCAGGGGCTGCTGGCCTTTCCGAGGTTCTTGTGACTTGTCCCATCACGGGGAAAGCGGTGGGCGTTGACGCCACATAAATGTGAACGCCAGTGGGTTGGGAATGCATTTATACCAGGCACATCTTAACATTTTAGTCAGAGCAGCCCATTCACTGCTGCCACTCCAGCCCCCATGGGCCAAATCCAGCCCAGTGCCCGTTTTCATAAATAAAGTTTTATTGGCATAGAGGCACGGCCACTCATTTACATATGATCTGTGGTTGATTTCCCCATACAGTGGCAGAGTGGAGTTCTTTTAGCTGAGCCTAGTTGGCCTGCAGAGCTGAAAATATTACCTGACTCTTTTTTTTTTTTATCCTCATCCAAGGCATTTTTCCATTTTTTATTCAGATAGAGTGGGAGGGAGAGGGAGAGAGAGAGAAACATCGATGTGAAAGGGACACATTGAGTGGCTGCCACTCACACGATCTAACCAGAGCCGGGGACAAACTGCATCCGAGGTACATGCCCTTAGCGGGAACCGAACCCAGGTCTCTCGGGACTGCAAACCGACGCTCTAACCACTGAGCCAAACCGGCCAGGGCATTACCTAACTCTTTACAGAAGGGTTGCTGGCTCCTGTGTTTCCTTGGACAGGTAGAATTGGATAAGAGGATTAATGTAAGTGCGTGCCAAGGGTAGGTGACATCAGATTCCAGTTTAGTGCTTCTCATGGGGCATGAGGCAGAGCGAGGACTTGGTCGGTCAGTAAGCTGTTAGCCCCTTGATGGTGACGCCAAAAACTAAGGCCATTCTCCTCATTAGTCACTGTCACTGGCTGGGTATTGACTATGGGACAGGAACCATGTTCGGGCCTTGATGTATGCTACCACGTTTAATTTAATCTTGGATGTTGTTCTAAAATATAGATGGAGGAATTGTGGGATGAATTAATTGTAAGGGTAATAACTGTTATTATGTCCTTTATTGAGTGTTTCACGTAATGAGCTTAGTGTGGTTTTCCTATGTTATTTCTAACCTATTTTATTGTGGGGAAAGTAGAGCAAATAGCAATGTGTGTGCCCATTCGGTTTCCACCATTATCACCTGGCTGGTCCTGCTTTCTCTCCACTCTGGCACATTCTGCCCCCTCCTCCACCCTACCCACCCCAGACACGATATCTTTCACCCATATTTTGTTCTCGTTTTAGCATGAAATTTGATATATACAAAAGAATAGTCATAAGAGATAAGTTATAAAGCAGGATGCTAGAATGAACACTCACATCCCATAGACACCCTGCCAGCAACCAGACATTCCCAGTGCCTCGAGTCTCGGGTGTCACTCGCTGGCCAGCCCTCCTGCATCCCTCACTGTCGTACTCATTCCCATGGTGCCCTGTAATATTATTTTATTTTACTCCCATGACTTCTGAGGCTGATTTGGCCAATCAGTCTGGGACAAGCAAGGAAGACATTGGAACAAACACCAATGGTAGGAACTGGACAGGATTTGGGGCACGTCACAGTCTGAATTTAGTTTGATCTCCGCCCCCCTTCCTTAATTGTAATAACCTATGCATACCACGAAGTTGAGCTTTTAACCATTTTTAAGTGTACTGATCAGTGGCACTAAGTATATTTATATTGTTGTGCAAAACTATCTCCAAGTTACATCTTTTTTTTCTTTATTGATTTCAGAGAGAGAGGAAGGGGAGGAGAGAGAGAGAAACATTGATGAGAGAGAACATTGATTGGCCGCCTCCTGCATGCCCCCCACTGGGGATTTAGCCCACAACCTGGGCATGCGCCCTGACCAGGAATGGAACTGGCGACCTCTTAGTGCATGGGTTGACACTCAACCACTGAGCCACACCGGCCGGGTTCCAAGTTTTATATTTATAATCACCCTCCTTTATGGGGATTACTGTTCCTGTTTTATGGGGAGGAAACAGGTTCAGAGTGGTGTAGGAGCCTTCGCAAGCTTTCACAGCTGGGACCTGCCTGCAGCTCTTCTGCCTTCTGGGAGCCTGTGCCCTTGTCCCCAGACTCAGCCATTCTCTATGTAATTCTGTCAAACACTGACCCTGACAGCAGCCAGTGCTGCTGGCCAAGTGGACAGGGCTCTGGGGCAGGGACCATGACTCCCAACTTACAGATGAGGAAGTTCAGGATCTGAGAGAGGGAATCATTTGGTTGGTGAGTGCCAAGACAGGATTGGAGCCAGAGCCATCTGATACCACCTCCCGGCTGGCATGGGGCAGAAGAAGGGACCGGGCGAGGACTCTGATGCTTAAAATACAACACAAATGTGCATTATAATGGGGCACGCACAGCCTCAGGAGTGAGTCACCAATGCAGGTGTTGGAGATTCGTTGGTGTGCCTGGAGTCAGGGCAGGCTGGCGGCGCGGCTGTTGAGAGCCCAGCTTGAGCTTTAACCTGACTGGTGCAAATCTCCACCACTTCTGATTTAGACTGATGTTGAGCCTGGCCGATGTTGGTCACTGGTTGAGCGTTGACCCATGCACCAAGAGGTCACCGGTTCGATTCCCAGTCAGGGCACATGCCCAGTTGAGGGCATGCAGGAGGTGGCAAGTCGATGTTCTCTCTCATCGATGTTTCTATCTCTCTCTTCTTCTCCTTTCCTCTCTCTAAAATCAATAAAGAAAAAAATTCATGGAACTTTAAAAAAAATAGACTGATGTTGAACCATCCTGAGCCTCAATTTCCTCATCTGTAAAACGGGGCTGGATCATGTTAGTACCTCCTCCATGCAGTGTGAAGACTTGATATTATGGTTTATCCAGTGCTATGACTGTGGGTGGCATCTGAAATAAAGAGAAATATTGATGTGAGAGAGATACACCGACTGGTTGCCTCTTGCATGACCGCAAATGGGGCTGGAGATCAAACCTACAACCCAGGTACGTGCCCTTGACCGGGAATTGAACCCAAGATCCTTTGGTCTGTGGGCCGACTCTCCTGAGCCAAACTGGCTAGGGCAAACTTTGCTTCTTTCTTTTTTTTTTTTTTATCCTCACCCGAGGACATTTTTTCCATTTTTTGTTCAGATAGAGTGGGAGGGAGAGAGAGAGAAACATCGACGTGAAAGGGACACATCGAGTGGTTGCCACCCGCACGACCCAACCAGGGCCAGGGACAAACTGCAACCGAGGTACATGCCCTTAGCGGGAACCAAACCTGGGTCTCTCTGGACCGCAGGCTGACGCTCTAACCGCTGAGCCAAACTGGCCAGGGCAAGCTTTGCTTCTTTATTCATCTTGGTGATCGTGGGCAAATCGCTGGTGTAGAGCTTGGCCACGTTTTCCTGTAGGCCAGACAGCAAATATTCTTGGCTTTGCAGACCACTCAGGGTCTCTGTCACATGTTCTGTATTTTTCCCGTCCTACGATTTCTACAATTTAAAATGTAGAAACTGTTCTTAGCTCTTAGATCTATGAAAATGGGCCACAGGCCATCGTTTTTCCAAGAGTAGTGGCAGGCCAGTAGAAATATCATGAGTCATATACATCATTGAAACTTTCTTGGATCCACATTTTTACGAAGTTAAAAGATGGGTGAGATTAGCCACAAGAATGTATTTTTTTTTAACCCAGCACGTCTAAAATATCTTAGTATGTAATTAATGTAGGAAAACTTGATGTTTTACATCTTTTACTTCTCATACCAAATCTTTGGCACCCAGTGTGTATTTTACACTCATAGAACATTCAGATCAGCTGCATTTCAAGTGCTCAGGAGCCATGTGTGAGGAGGGAGGGGCTGTTGACTGAAGAATATGGTTTAACCCCTTCTCTGCTTCATCTTCCCGGTCTGTAATATGGGCGTGATCATATTGACTCTCAGTTCTTGGGGATGCTGAAGATTTAACAGGATGTCACCTCTGAACGTGTAAGAGTTTATTGGATGCAGAAAAGTTTGGGGAGGGTGGTCCAGCCAGAAAGAAGAGTCTGTTCAAAGGCCCTGTGGTGATGGAAAGCATGATGTGCTTGTGATGTGCAGAGACGCAAGGGTTTCAATGGCTGGACAGTGAGCACTGAGGCTGGGATCAATGGGAGAATCTGCTGTGGGTTGCCCAGCCTCTGCTAGTGCCCCTGGTCTGCAGGGAGGTGGCTGGGGGAGGTGTCCAGTTCTGATGACAGTCTGTCTATTGCATCAGTTCTGTGACAGTGACTCCCCCGTTAACGGACTCCTTAGCACCAGGCTCAGTGCGTCTAGCTTACTCACATTTTGCCCTTGCCCCAGCTTGTCACAGTTCAAATTCCCAGAAGAGGATCTGACTGGTCCAGCTCAGCATTTATGGGCTGTGGGTGGGGCAACTTCCCTAGTAAGTGGAAGTGGGTGTAACATGAGGAGAGGCAGGAAGGACATGGCTTGGGGACTAGCTGGCATTGATGGAGAAACTGGCAAGGATGGTGGCCAGGTGATTGGGTCCAATGACTGTGGGGGCATGGTGGGCATCGTGGGAGAAAACTGGTTCGGGGAAGATGTGAAGTCCAGTTGGAATGTGGTGAGCGCAGGGACCTGAGCCCAGCTAGAGAATCAGCCAACTCCTTAGAGAAGGCAGATCGGCCACGGGAGAAGACTGAAGGGGGTTTCCCCTGGCTGGGGGCGGAGAACGCACTGATGGGCTTTTTAAAGGCTTCTGAGAGCTGGAACAGGGTACATCATGTTCACATTGAGGGAAAAGGCACCCGTGGTGGGGGACCCTCTGTATGGAAAAGCCTGGAGTTCAGAAAGTCAGGGGCTTGTCTGCTGAGCTTTGAGGGTCTGCATGGCCTGTTGGGCAGGGGCAGGGAACAGGAGAGGAAATTGAGGCAAAGTCTCTCTGTGCCAACCTGCAGAATGGGCATTGGAGGCCCCGCAAGGTTTTGGAGCAGGGCAGGATGAAAATGGACTTTTTATTTTTTTATTTATTTTTGTTTGTTTTTTATCCTCACCCGAGGACATTTTTGCATTTGTCTTCAGATAGAGTGGGAGGGAGAGAGAGAGAAACATCAGTGTGAGAGAGACACATCGACTGGTTGCCATCCACACAACCCCAACTGGGGCCGGGGACAAGCCGCAACCCTTAACGGGAACCGAACCCGGGACTTTCCCGACCGCAGGCCGACGCTCTAACTGCTGAGCCAAACCGGCCAGGGCCCAAGAGCCTTTCTGGACCTCATTTTCATCAGGTTATTGTAACCCCTTCCTTGTGTTCCCCTGGTTGATCTGAGGGACGTGAAAAATCGTGGATGTGAGAGCAGTTGACCCAAAACCAAGAGTGGACGGTACCTGGCGGTCAGCCTTTGGCATTGCAGCTGCTGTCAGTGGCAGACATTATTAATTGATCCCAGCACTCACTCCTGCTGAATCTGGTGCTCAGGGCAGCCATAATCAATCAACTGGAGCTACCGTCTGAACACTGTTGTATCACTTGGCTGTGGGGCCTTTGAATGCAGGACTGCCCCTCAGTCACCTCTGGGTTATCACAATGCTCAGTGCAGATATTCCGCTACATTCTTATTTTTCGCGTATCTGTACTTGTCAGCGTCTCTCTTCGGGCCACGGCTGTCACACACTTCCCTGGTAGCCCCTGGTCATCACCCAGTCCCCTCATGGAAGAGGACGTGGTCCTTCCAGGACTCATTGAGGTGTCACTTCTTCCAGGAAGCATTTTGGGATTCAGATTGAGTTCAGGGTCCTTCTAGGCTGCAGGGACATCCACCATGAACAGATTTGTTACCTGTGTGTTATTTCATGGTACCTATGTCTGGCTCCCCTGCTGCCCACCCACTCCCCAAGATTGGATGCTGGGTCTGACTTACATCCATTGGTTCCAGTGCCCAGTTGGGGGCACACAAGCCTCGGTGTGTGGGTGAGGGTCTGAGGGTGTTGGGGGAGTGGAGACGGGAGAGCCTGTCTACCACTGTGCCCTGAAATAAATGGTCTCAGGTCACCTGTCACCTGTTTGTCCATGGCCTCACCTTGCTTTGTTTATTTGCTCATCTGTCTTGTTACTTCTGTAATAAAGACCCCCTTAAGGCTTTGTCAATCTCAGTCACCGCCGAACCCTGGGGCCCAACACGGTTTTGTCACTACACTGAGTCATGCAGGACACTTGCACCCTCACACCATAAAGCTATAACGACTGAAGCCTTGTAACCCAAGAACAAACGGCCGGATTGATAAGCCATGGAGGACGGGGCCAGATTCTAGCTGCATCGCAGGGCTGAGAACATGGGGCCCAAAGATATCTGTCACCCGATGTTCGTTAATCCTTATTGATCACGATGCCGTTCCTCTGAGGGGGTATTGAGGGAGGTCAGAGGGCCAGGAACTGGGGGACAAGGCGCAGGAATGCGGGCTGACCCTGCCGGCCTCACTGTGCCCCTTCTCAGCTGGCGCTGCAGACGGGCCGCGAGCCCCCACCCATCTGGCGCGTGCAGAAGGCTCTGCTGCAGAAATTCACCCCCGAGATCAAGGATGGCCAGCGGCAGTTCTGCGCCACCAGCAATGTAAGCCTGCAGAGGGCAGCGAGGACGGGGCCCGGGTGGGGGGTCCGGCCGCAGTGGTGGCCCAGGGTGAGTGGGAATCTTGGGTGTCGGGCTGCCTGGATGGGGCGGGTGAAGGAGCTCCTCTTTCCCGCCATAGTACTTGGGGTATTTTGGAGACGCGAAAAACCGGTACCAGCGCCTTTATGTGAAGTTTCTGGAAAACGTCAACAAGAAGGATTATGTGAGGGTGTGCGCTCGGAAACCATGGCACCGGCCCCCAGCGCCTGTCAGGTACCATGGGCCTAGGGGACAGCTGGCGGGCGGCTAAACAGGCGAGGGGAGGGGACAGAGCAATGCCGGACAGAGACCCAGAGATGGAGAGAGGTCCAGAGCACAGGGAGAGTCTCAGAGAGAGGAAACAGCACCCCAGCAAGAAGGGAGATGGTTCTGTGCTTCGAGCCGTGGGCCAGGCAGGGGGGACCCCAGGAGGAGAGTTTGGCCCTCCTGGGGGCTGCTGACTGCAGTTCCTTCTACGTTCCCTTCCAGGCGCTCAGGGCAGGCCAAGGGCCCCGCCTCTGCTGGGGGCAGCTCTGCACCTGCCCCCAAGGCCCCGGCGCCACCTCCTAAGCCTGAGACTCCTGACAAGACGACATCAGAGAAGCCCCCGGAGCAGACGCCCGAGACGGTCGTGCCCGAGCCCCCTGCCCCTGAGAAGCCGGACCCACCTCGGCCTGTGGAGAAGGAGAAGGAGAAGGAGAAGGAGCGGGTGACTCGCGGGGAGCGGCCGCTGCGCGGGGAGCGAGGCGCAGGCGGGCGGCAGACCCGGCCGGAGCGCAGCCTCACCGCAGGACAGCCCGCCAGCTCCAGGCTGCCCAAGGCCCGGCCCACCAAGGTGAAGGCCGAGCCGCCCCCGAAGAAGAGGAAGAAGTGGCTGAAGGAGGTGGCAGGCAACGCCTCGGCGGGCGGGGGCCCACCAGGCAGCTCCTCGGACTCAGAGTCATCCCCTGGAGCGCCCAGTGAGGATGGTGAGGCCCTTGGTAGCCGTGTGGCTGGTGGGGGGGGCTGGTGGGGTGATTCTGGGCCTTCAGAAGGGGGCATGGGTGCGGGCTGTCCAGTAGGCTCCATGCAGCATCAGCAAGACAGTCACAATAATAAGTAAATTAAAAGTTCTAGTGCCCCGGCTAGTGTCACTCAGTGATTAGAACATTGGCCCATACTCTGAAGGGTCACGGTTTTGATTCCCAGTCAAGGGCACCTACCTGGGTTGCAGGCTCGATCCCCAGCCCTGGTCGGGGCACAAGGAGAGGCAACCGATCGATGTATCTCTCTCACATCAATGTTTCTCTCTCTCTCTCCCTCTCGTTCCCTCCCTTTCACTCTCAAAACCAATGGAGCCAGTGTGGCTCAGTGGTTGAGGGTCGACCTGTATAGGAAGAGGTTGCTGGTTTGATTCCCGGTCGGGGGCACATGCCTGGGTTGTGAGCCCGATCCCCAGTAGAGGGTGTGCGGGAGGCAGCCCGTCAATGTTGATGCTTCTCTCCCATCAATGTTTTTCTCTCTCCCTCTCCCTTCCTCTCTCTCTAAAAAAAATCCATAAAAACATTTAAAAAAGAACAGAAGCCCTGGCCAGTTTGGCTCAGCGGTTAAAGCTTCGACCTGCGGTCCAGAGAGACCCGGGTTTGGTTCCTGCTAAGGGCATGTACCTCAGTTGCAGTTTGTCCCCGGCCCTGATTCGTTCGTGCGAGTGGCAGCCACTCGAATTGTTCCCTTCACTTCGATGTTTTTCTCTCTCTCTCCCTTCCTCATTCTCCCTCCCACTCTATCTGAACAAAAAATGGGGGGAAAAAAAAAAAACAGAAAAATATCCTCAAGTGAGGATTAACAAGAGCAACTACAATACTTGCACTAGCTAACAACTATGTGGCACCTAATTACATGATCAGCTGTCTTCTAAATTATTGGCGCATATTAATCTGCATAATTTTCACAGCAGCCTTAGAGGTAGGTGCTGTTGTTGTCCTCATATACAGATGACAAAACTGAGGCACCAAGAGTGGAACACCGCGGGGATGTGGCGTCCCACCCGGGCTGGAACACAGCCAGCGGGGCCTCAGACTCTGTCCTTCAATGCTGTGCTGTTTCGTCTCAGAATAAGCAGGTTCTGAGGGCCGAGGGGGACCAGCATTGATCCTAGAGGCCCAGAGATAGTGGTGTTCCCTGGAATTTGCTGGGGAGCTCCAGAAAAGAGGCATCACCTCTTTGTGCCTTAGTGACGTCACCTGTGAAATGGGTTAATAATAGATAAAGCACATGGGAGGGTATTTGCCTACAGTAGGTACCAGATGTGAGCTCCATTGCTTAGAATGGTGTCTGGTTTATGATGACAGTAACAACAAAAAGATAAGTGCACATAGGTAAATAGAACAGCCAGGTCCTTACCGGGTGCTAGGCATCATATTAAGCACTTTACACATGGCTCATTTTATCTTTACATAAACCCTATGAGGTAGGTGCTGTAGAGTTATCCTCAACGTTTAAAATGAGGAAACAGCCGCCCTGGCCGGTTTGGCTCAGCGGTTGGAGCATCAGCCTGCGGTACAGAGAGACCCGGGTTCGGTTCCTGCTAAGGGCACATACCTCGGCTGCAGTTTGTCCCCGGCCCTGGTTGGTCTTGCGGGTGGCAGCCACTCAATGTGTCCCTTTCACCTCGATGTTTCTCTCTCTCTCTCTCTTCCTCTCTCCCTCCCGCTCTATCTGAACAAAAAATGGAAAAATGTCCTCGGGTGAGGATAAAAAAAAAAAATGAGGAAACAGCCTGGCCAGTGTGGCTCAGTGGTTCATGCACCAAGAGGTCATCGGTTCGATTCCCGGTCAGGGCCCATCCCCAGGGTGGGGCGTGCAGGAGGCGGCCAGTTAATGTTCTTTCTCATCGATGTTTCTGTCTCTCTCTCCTTCTCCTTTCCTTTCTCTAAAATCAATAAAGAAAAAAAAAAGTTTTTAAATGAGGAAAATTGAGGCCCTGGGAGGTGACCTGTCTTGTTCGAGGTCACACCCTTTCAGCTATAGAGCAGGAGTAGCTGTTTTGTGTGCACTCGTGTGCATGTGTGTGTTTTAACTTATTTATTAACTTTTATTTACTTACTAATTTTTTTTTAATTGATTTGAGAGAGAGGAAGGGAGAGGCATCAGTGTGTTGTTCCACTTGTTGATGCATTCATTGGTTGTTTCTTGTATGTGCCCTGACCGGGGATGGAACCTGCAACCTTGGCGTATCTGGACGACGCTGTCACTGAGCTGCCCGGCTAGGGGAGGAGTAGCTGTTGTTGTTTTTTTATCCTCACCCGAGGACATTTTTCCATTTTTTGTTCAGATAGAGCGGGAGGGAGAGAGAGGAAGAGAGAGAGAGAGAAACATTGATGTGAAGGGACACATCGAGTGCCTGCCACCCGCACGACCAACCAGGGCCGGGGACAAACTGCAACCGAAGTACGTGCCCTTAGCGGGAACCGAACCCGGGTCTCTCAGGACCGCAGGCCGACGCTCCAACCGCTGCGCCAAACCGGCCAGGGCAGAGTAGCTGTTTTAACAGAGCCTAGACTTCAGCTAGTCAAGTGAGAGGTGGAATTGCCCTTTCAAAGCCCTGATATAGGAGGGAGGGTTGTGGAGAAGAAGAGGCTCTTCTCAAGGTGTTTTAGGGTCCCAGTTTTCCTTCATTTTTGCTGTTCTGCTGTCCCCCAGCGTGCTGTCTTCACCACATGGTCACAGGCAGCCCAGCGGTCCTGTCAGCAGGAACGGACACAAGGGCAGGGCAGTGGCTTCACCTTCCTCTTAAGTGACACATTTAAGTAGGTGTGGCCCAGTCCTGTCTTCTGTCCCGTTGGCCAGCACTGGTTACATGACCACAGCTAGCTGCACGGAGCCCAGGAACTGTAGTCTTTTAGCTGGTCCAGCTGTGCTGAGTCAGGCCTGATGGAAGCCCTTTAAGCTGAGACTGGAAGGTACAGCAAGGGAAGAGGTTTACCGAAGGCCTGGATTTGCAGGTCTTTTCTTCCCTGGTCCTCAATTTTTTCTTGTTTTCTCAAATGGGTTTATACATCTAAGTCACGTACCATCTGGTTCACCTATTTGAAACATGTCATTCATTGGCTTTTGGTATAGTCGTAGAGTTAGTCATCTTGGCAATCAATTCTAGAACATTTACCTCACCCCAGAAAGAAACCCTGCCCCCTTTGGCCATCACTCCTTTTCCCTCCGTCCAGCCCTAAGCAACCAGCAATGTATTATCTTTATAGATTTGCCTATTCTGGACATTTTATGTAAGTGTAATCATACAATACATGGCCTTTTATGTCTGGCTTCTTGCATTTAACACAGTGTTTTTGAAGTTTACCCATGTATTGGTTCTCTGTTCCTTTTTATGGCTGAGTAATATTCCATTGTGTGGATCTGCCACATTTTATTTATTCACGTACCAATTGATGGACATTTGGGTTGTTTCCAGTGTTTGTTAACTCTCTCTTTTTTTTTTAATCTTCACCGGAGGACATTTTTGCATGTATCTTCAGGTAGAGTGGGAGGGAGAGAGGGTGGAAGAGAGAGAGAGAGAGAGAGAAACATGATGTGAGAGAGACACGAGTGGTTGCCACCCACACAACCCCAATCAGGGTTGGGGACAAACTGAAACCGAGGTACATGCCCTTAGGAGGAACTGAACCTGGGACTCTCTGGTCTGCAGACCGATGCTCTAACCGCTGAGCCAAACCGGCCAGGGCTGTTTCCACTGTTTGGCTAATGCTATTCTGAACACACCTGGACAGCCTTGAATTTTCTGAACCTGGAAAATGGGAGGAACTGAACTCTGTACTCTTAGAGTAACAGTTCCCCTTCCCAGGGTCAGTATCTTTCTCTTTGTCTGGGTTTGTCTCCCCTCACCCCATTCGAGCAGGATTCCTTCCAGGGGAGGATGAACCTGGATACCCTGAAGGCTTTGCCCAGCCCAGGAGGTCTCAGAACCAACCCTTTTGCTTGTCCAAGACCAGCCAGCCTCCATGGGCTGGAAGCTGGTACTCTCCTTTCTTGTCTTCCCAGTGAAAGTTTTAGAAAGAGGCTGCACTGCTGTCTCCTGTCTTCTTCCTTTAGTCCACTCCCATCCAGCTTCCTCAGCCTCTTTCTGCAGGTGTTTATTGAGCACCTACTTTGTGCTGCAATGGGGGTTCCAGCTGTGAACAGAATAGACAAAAATATGTGTCCTCGTGGGAGCTCATAGTCCAGCCGGGGAGCCAATTAGATAAATAAGTTATGTAATAGGATACCAAACCGTATGAAAAATCCTCGGTGGAAGGCTGGGGAGGATTAAAGGCAGTTACAAAAAAATAAATCTGGAAAAGAGAATACGGGCAGCAAACGGGGTGATATTGTGGGGAAGGGAGTTGGGGAAGGCTTCTGGAAATGACATTGGAGCAGAGAGCTGAACACAGCAGGGTCATGTGACTTTGAGGGAGAGAACATTCCAGGCTGGGTGTGTCTGGGGATCAGGAAGGAGGCCAGTGGCTGGAGCAAGCAGGAGGAGAGGGAGAAGTGAGCGCAGAGGAGGAACAGGACCTGGAGGGACAAGGGGCCTGGGGCTTTGTGGCCACTCTGGCAGGATTTTACTCTGAGCCGTTCAGGAGCCTCAGTTGGGTTTGGGCTGAGGCCTCGTGGGGTCTGACTCCCACTGCCACGTGGTCACTCCAGGCTCCTGAAACAGCTGTCACCAGGGACCCTCACTATGCATAAACCAAGTAGACATTTCTCATGCTTCTTCCTGAGGGGTAGCCTGGGGTCTTCGAATGACGCCCCCCACTCTGTCTTTTCTTCCCGACACACCCCCTCGGGTTTTCTGTGGGTCCCTCAGCCTCTCATCCTTGGCCTTGTTGCTTCTCATCCTCCACCTTTCATTTGGCAGGCTCCCCCAAGTTTCCAATGAGCCTCGGGTTCCTTTCTTCCCCCAGCCACCCTCCAGGCCTCCCACAAGCACCCCGAAAGCCCCCTCCCTTCATTTCCCACCGAGTTCCTTGTTCTAGATTCCCTATCTCAGGCACAGTCCTCTTGGCTGCCCAGACGCCAGGCCAGCCCCTCTGGGTACCATGTGTCGCTCACTCACCTCCACATCTGAGAAGTCCATAGTCCTACCCTCCCTGGCTGCCCCAGTCTTGGCCCTCCTGTGTCCGCCCCCGCCCCCGCCCCCGCCATCTCTATGGTCTGTCCCTACCACCCTGCCCCAGCCTCATCCTTTCTTACCTGGTCCAATCCCTCCAATCTGACCCCCCAGATGGCCTCAGCAGGGTCTTCCCCCAGTTGCTCTCACCCCTCCCCTGCACACAGCTTCCCCAGCGGGAAAGCCCTCTCCACCTTTGCTGGAGGCCCTGTGGTCTGGCTCACACTGATAACATGCAGTCCACTCCTATCTCCTCCTGGGATCTTGCTCTCTTGATCTGATCTCTCTGACTTGATTCACCGGTTTGGAAACCAACCATGTTGCTTCTTTCGACTTCGCTGAGGCTGCACTGAACTAGTCAAACGTGAAGTTTACTGGCCTGGAATGCTATTTCCTAATGCTCTTTCCTGTCACTCAAGACTCAGCTCTTTGGCAACCTGGAACCAACCCTTCCCTGACTCCTGGGCTGAGCTCGTCACAATGCCTGCAACTCCACCCTTAGAGCACGTTGTGCTGGTTCTTTTGTTTTTTTTTCTTTTTGTTTTTTTGTTAATCCTCACCCAAGGATATGTTTTCCATTGATTTTTTTTTTTTTTTTAGAGAGGATGGGAGGGACAGAGACAGAGGGGGAAACATTGGATTGGTTGCCTCCCACACTGGTGCAGAGCAGGACCTGGAATTGAACCCCTGCCCCTTCAGTGCATGAGCTGATGCTCTAACCACCGGGCCATACAGGCAAGGGCTGTGCTGGTTCGTCAGTCCTCCCCAGTGGGCTTGGGCCTCCCTGAGAGCAGGGATTTCTCTCCTGGACCGTGGTGCTTAGAACACTGCCCCTCAGGTAGCCTCAGAGCAGGTTGGCACAGTGAACTCATGCTGCATGTTTTCCCCAGAGCGGGCAGTACCTGGGCGTCTGCTGAAGACCCGGGCCATGCGGGAGATGTACCGGAGCTACGTGGAAATGCTGGTGAGCACAGCACTCGACCCGGACATGATCCAGGCCCTGGAGGATACGCATGGTGAGCTGAGGCCCGGGCGGAGACAGCTGGGCACGCAGACCCTCAACCCTTCTTTGCCCTCACACTCTGGAGCTGCAGCTCTTCTAACAGCCCCCCTCGTCTTTCAGACGAGCTGTACCTCCCCCCCATGCGGAAGATCGACGGCCTCCTGAATGAGCACAAGAAGAAAGTCCTGAAGCGGCTGTCGCTGAGCCCAGCCCTGCAGGTGCTTGGGAGGCCTGGGCAGGAGGTGTCTGGGGCCCAGAGGTCAGGCATAGAGGAGACGCGTACATGTTGTCCACTGCCGTGGTCCCCGGAGGGAGCAGGCACTGGGAGAGTCGGGCTTGGCCAGGAGAGAAGTTGAGAGCAGGGCTGTCAGGAGCAGGGAGCTGGGATGGTGTGGAGGGGTCATGAAGGTCCAGGATGGACTGCTGGGAAGGCCCAGCAGAGTGTGGTTGTGGAGTGCAAGTTTGGGGACAAAACGGTAGGCTGAGTCCCGCACAAAGGGCTCGTCCACATGATGGAGGCTCAGAGAATCTCCGGCTTCAGCATTAGCTCAGCTCCATAATTTCCCTCTGGAATGGCCTAGAGTTCTGGGATGGAATGTCAGGTGGCTCTGGGGATTGTGGGATAGAATGGAAGTCTGGCTCTGAGAATTCCCACGGGGATGTTAGGGGCATGCTGAGAATTCCAAGGAAGAATGTTAGGGCAACGTGGATTCCTGGGATGGAATGGTAGCCCACCCAGAAAATTCGGGGCGAGGGGATGTAAGTCTGGTTCTGAGAATTCTAGGATGATTTTAGGCTGGCTCCGAAAGTTCTTGGTGGGATGTTGGTTTGTGTCCTAAAATGTTAATCTGGTTCTAGAGCCCTGGGTGGGATGTTAAGATGACTCAGAATTCTGCGACTGACTGTTAGTCTGGCTCTGAGAAGTCTGGGTAGGATGTCATGAGGGTTAAGAATTCCATTATTTAAAAAAGGTAGCCTTGCCCTGGCCGGTTTGGCTCGGCGGTTAGAGCGTCGGCCTGCGGTCCAGAGAGACCTGGGTTTGGTTCCCGCTAAAGGCACGTACCTTGGTTGCAGTTTGTCCCCGGCCCTGGTTGGGTCGTGCAGGAGGCAGCCACTCGATGTGTCCCTTTCACTTTGATGTTTCTCTCTCTCTCTCACTCTTCTTCTCTCTCCCTCCCATTCTGTCTGAACAAAAAATGAAAAAATGTCCTCGGGCAAGGATAAGAAAAAATAATAATAAAAAAATTTAAAAAGATAGCCCTGGATGGATAGCTCAGTAGGTTAGAGCATTATCCTGCTATACCAAGGTTGTGGGTTCAGTGCCCAATCAGGGCACGTACAAGAAACAAACAATGAATGCATAAATAAGTGGAACAGCAAATCAGTGTTTCTCTCTCTCTCTCTTTCTCTCTCTCTCTCTCTCTCCCTGCCTCTCTTCCTCTCTCTCTCTCTAAAATCAATTTTAAAAATAAAAAGAAAGCCTGGCTGGCGTGGCTCAGTGATTGAGTGTCAACCCATGCACCAAGAAGTTGCTGGTTCGATTCCCAGTCAGAGCACATGCCCGGGTTGTGGGCTCGATTTCCCCGGTAGGGGGGCGGGCAGGAGGCGGCCAATTGTTGATACTTCTCTCTCATTGATGTTTCTATCTCTCCCTCTCCCTTCCTGTCTCTCTGAAAAATCAATGAAAAACATTTAAAAAGCAAAAAATAAAAGAAATAAGGAAAGCCATTATAGAATACAGGCATACCTCATCTTTTTAAGATTCATAGATAATGCATTTTTTTTACAAATTGGAGGTAAGACCCCACCACCACCGCCAGCAAAAAGCTTACAACTTGCAAAGGCTCAGATAATGGTTAGCATTTTTTAGCAATAAAGTTTTTTTGTTTTTTTAATCCTCACCAGAGGACATTTTTACATTTATCTTCAGATAGAGCAGGAGGGAGAGAGGGAGGAAGAGAGAGAGAGAGAGAGAGAAACATGAGTGTGAGAGAGGCACATCGAGTGGCTGCCACCCACACAACCAGGGCCGGGGACAAACTGAAACCGAGGTACATGCCCTCAGTGGGAACCGAACCCGGGACTCCGATCCGCGGGCCAACGCTCTAACCGCCGAGCCAAATCAGCCAGGGCATAAAGTATTTATTTTTTATGAAGGTATGTACTTTTTTTTTTGAGCGAATGTTATTTCATACTTAATGAACTATACAGTATAGGCTCACGTTACTTTTATATGCACCGGGAAACCAAAAATTCTGTGATTCGCTTTATTGCGATGTTCGCTGAATCGCAGTCAGTGGTCTGGAACGGAACCCACAGTGTCTCCAGAGTATGCCTGTCCTAGGAAAGGTCTGAGGGTTATGGGATGGAAGGTTAGCCTGGTTTTAGAATTCTGGGGTGGAATGTTATATGGCACCGGGGATACTGGATTTTAGACTAACTCTTAGAATTTTGGGTAGGATGTTAGGTAGCTCTGAGACTCCTGGGCTGGGCCACTAAGCACCAAGGTCACCAGGCAGGCCTAGGTTCCTTTGTCCTTTGGAGGAAGCAAGACTCCCAACTGTCTCTTTTGATGTGCATCCTGGGGGAAACTGAGGCATCCGATGACTCTGGGAACCTGAGATCTGGGTGGTGAGTTTGGGGTGCGCAGGTCCAGAGAGGTCCATTGATCCATCATCCTCCCACAGGACGCCCTGCACACGTTCCCCCAGCTGCAAGTGGAGCAGAGCGGGGAGGGCTCCCCTGAAGATGGGGCCGTGCGGCTGCGGCCGGCTGGGGAGCCCTACAACCGCAAGACTCTCAGCAAGCTCAAGAGGAGCGTGGTCCGGGCCCAGGTGGGGCCAGGGAGGGCAAGCAGGGTGTGGGGACCGGGGCTGCCCAGGGCTGGGCAGGGCGTTGAGGCTTCTCTGCCCCATCTGCCCAGGAGTTCAAGGTTGAGCTGGACAAGTCGGGGTACTACACGCTCTACCACTCACTCCATCACTATAAGTACCACACCTTCCTGCGCTGCCGGGACCAGGTGAGTCCACCCACAGCATGCATCGCCCTGCGGCTCCACCCCTCATGGGCCCTTCCATGGGCTCGGGTCCAGGACCTCAGTTCCCCCTCCCTCAGACCCAGGAGTCCAGGCCCCCAGCCCCTCCTCCCTCAGACCCAGGAGCACAGGCCCCCAGCCCCTCCTCCCTCAGACCCAGGAGTCCGGGCCCCCAGCCCCTCCTTCCTCAGACTCAGGGTCCAGCTCCCAGCCCCCCTCTCCCTGGGACACTGATCCCTAGACCCCCTGCCTCCTCCCACCCCAGGCCCTGCTGGCCACCTGCCCCAGCTCCGTGTTTCAACCCCTGCAGACCCTGGCCATCGAGGGCGGTGCTGAGGACCTGGGTCAGGAGGAGGTGGTCCAGCAGTGCATGCGGAACCAGCCGTGGCTGGAACAGCTCTTCGACTCCTTCAGCGACCTGCTGGCCCAAGCACAGGCCCACAGCCGCTGTGGGTGACCCCACCTCGGCCTGGGGGAGACACCTCCTCCGTGAACCAAGAACTGGGACAGAACTGTGTCCTCAGGCACTAACCCCCAGGCCCTGTTGCCAGGGAAGAGGCGGGGGTCACTGGTCAGGGTGTGTCCGTGCTGCCCCCACAGGGCAGGGTTCAGAGTTCGACTCCCCTCTCTCCCAAGCCCTTTCCACTCCCTCCCCATTCCTCCCACTGTCCGGTGTACAGAGAAATTATTTATATATATGTATAAATGTCTATTTAGTAACGGTTTCCCTCTCCCCCTTGGCCCCCTCCCCCTCCATGGCCATAGCCCTCACCCCCTCCACCTTGTACATAATGTATAGGAAAAATCTATGTATGGTTGAGGAGGGTGGGGCGGCTTCAGAGAGCTGGGGGACCCCCTCACCCCCAAGCCCCCCCTTACAGGCCAAGATCTTTGCTAAAGGCCATTCCCGCCCCAGGGCATTCTGTGTCCAATGGGAAGGGGAAAATGCATCTTGTTAATTATTTTTAATCTTATTTATTGTACATACCTGGGGCGGGGGGCTGGGGAGGTGGAGGGGGGAAAAGGATCCCTTCCCTTTGCCCCTCCCACTCCTTTTCTACTGCGATTTGTCTGTGTCTCCCCCCAACACACACACCACCCCCATCCCATTGTCGTCTGGATGTGGTTCTATTTTTTATCGGTCTCCCCTCCCCTCCTCCCTCCCTCTAACCTTCTGCTCCCAACGCCCCACCACCCGTTGTCTCTTGCTCTTTCTTGGGCTTCTGTACAACTCAACTTGTATACACTGTGTACACACAACCAGCCAAACGAAAACCCAACGGCAAACACTTGATCGTCCGGCTGGAGTGGCTCTGTCCTGCGGCGTCTGGGTGGCCCTGGGGTGGCACCGGCAGAGGGTCTGGAACTGGAATGTGGCTTTTCTAGAGCCCTGGGAGGCAGTCAGGCTGGGGACATTGTATCGTTAGGTCTCGCTGTGTAACAAATAGCCCACCACAAAATTTAGTGACTTAAGTGACATTTATCATTGTACGGTTCCTGAGAATCAGGAATTTGAGAGCGGGTTAACTGGGTGGTGTTGGCCAAGGGTCTGTCATAGGGGTCATCAGCCAGGGTAGCGGTCATCAAGGATTTGACTGGCATTTCAGGATCTACTTTTAAGGTGGTTCATTTGCATGGCTCTTGGCTAGAGGCCTCAGTTCTTTGCCACGTGGACCTCACCATGAGGTCCTCACACCATGGCAGCTGGCTTTCCTCAGAGCGAGTAATACAAGGGAGACAACAAGGAGGAAGACACAATATTTTTGTCATTATAGTCTATTGCTTCTGCCACCTGTTTGTTAGAGGAGAGTCACGAATGAGCCTAGCACACACCCAGGGAGAGGGGGTTAAGCTCCACTTTGTGAAGGGAAAAGTATAGGAGTTTTTTAGTGTTTTTTTTTTTTTTAATTGATTTGAGAGAGAGAGAAACATCGATCTGTTGTTAAGCATTCATTGGTTGATTTTTTTTTTTTTTTGGTGGTACATGCCCCTAGAGGGAACTGAACCCGGGACTCTCTGGTCCACAGGTCGACGCTCAACCACTGAGCCAAGCTGGCCAGGGCCATTGATTGATTCTTGTATGTGCCCTGACCTGGGATCAAATCTGCAACCTTGGCTTATCAGGACAATACACTAACCAACTGAGCTACCCCACCAGGGCTGGATGTATTTTTAAACCAGTATAGGCAGTGACAGGTGTCAGGAGTTGACCAGCTTTTCCTTGGCTCCCTAATGTAGACTTGGGAAGGGTCTCTGTGTTCTTGAACCATGAAACTACAAGATCACGAGTGGACTGGCAGTTTAGAGGCCGGCACACAGAGGTGAGGATGGATTCTGTATTCTTTTTTTATTATTAAATAGTCACCTGGAGCACTTTTTTTTTTCTTCCTTTATTGATTTAGAGAGAGGAGGGGAGAGAGAAAGAGAAACATTGATGAGAATATTGATCGGCCACCTTCTGCATATCCCCCCCAACTGGGGATCCGGCCTACAACCTGGGCATGTGCCCTGACCAGGAATCGAACCGGCGACTTCTTGGTGCACGGGTTGACGCTCAACCACTGAGCCACACCAACTGGACGGATGGACAGATTCTGTATTCTTGAGCCTCACTGTGATCCAGGACTGCTAGAAATGTAGATGCTCAAGCTCTTTCTGAGATCTACTGAATCAAAGCCCACTTTTCAGTAAACTGGGAGAATTCAAATGTACATTCAAATTTGATGGGCGATGTTGTAGAACAAGAACGTGGGGTTCCACTGGCAGTCTTCTAGAACCCAACCGCTGAAGCAGTGAGTATGCTGTTCTAGAGCCTGGACACTTGACAACAAAAATGGACTATTGGTGTTCTAGAATCCTGGTGTCAGCATTGAGGATGGCTGGTCAGTGGGGAGAGACCCAGTGAGGTTTTGGAGTGAATCCTCATCCTAGACTCCTAGGGGAAATTGAGGAAGAACCCCATTGTTCTAGAACCTTGAATGTTGTCAGGACCGTCACTAATGTTACTGACTGTAGCGCCCTGGTTTTACAGAATGGCTAGTAACATTTGAGAACCATAATAGGCGAGTTAGTGATGCATCACAGACTTTCTAGAATCATCTTAATCTGATAAGAGCATTGAGAATGGACTGTTAGTGTCCTTGAGCTGTGGGATGCTGGGAGTATAGCCTCAGAGGAAGTGACACATTCAGGGTTCTGGATTGGATAGATGTCCACTTGGGACCAGAGTTTCCAGGATCAGCATTGTCCCAAGTCAGAGCTCTGGGTTAGAAAGTAGATGGAGTGAGTGGTCAGATTGTGGACGGTGGGGTTAGAATAACCTTGTGGTTGGCCTTTGTAATTCAACAGCCCCAACTGGATCTGAGTTCTAGTACTAACTAACTGGGCAAGTTGAAAAATAGCCTCCCGCCCTGGCCAGTTTGACTCAGCAGTTAGAGCGTTGGCCCACGGACCAGAGAGGCCCGGGTTCGGTTCCCACTAAGGGCACATACCTTGCTTGCAGTTTGTCCCTCGGCCCCGGTTGGGGTTGTGTGGGTGGCAGCCACTCGATGTGTCTCTCACATTGATGTTTCTCTCTCTCCCTTCCTCTCTCCTTCCCACTCTTATCTCAAGATAAATTTTTTTTAAATGTCTTCGGGTGAGGATTAAAAAAAAAAAAAAGAATAGCCTCCCATCCTCAGTTTTGTCATCTGTAAAATGGACTTTTGTCAAGGTGAAGGAAATATATTTGAAGCACTCGGCACTGCCTGGCCCCCAGCTGCTGCTACCTATAGCAGGAGACATCAAGAGGTTTGTCAGAGGTCCAAGAGATGGCAAGCAGGGTTGAGAGACAGGATGACATCAGAACCCAGAGAGACTTCCAATCATTGGCAGAAACCAGAGGGACTCACGGGGTGCACACACGTGCCTAGGGAAATGCCAACTAGGTCATCCCAGCCTCCTGTTGCTGTCTGATAAGCTTTGGAATGGTGATGGCAAACCTTCCAAAAATGGCCTTCCAGTTGTCATGTGGGTTTGTGTGTGTGCCTTGTTCTGGGGGCAAAAGGTAGCTTTCATCAGCTTCTCAAAGTGCATCCTAGACCCTTAAGAAGCAGGATGTCCCAGCCAAGAACTTGGCTGTTAGGCAATGCAGAAAGAACTCAGATTTTGTGCCGGGGGCGTGCCTCACCTCTGGCTGGGATTTAGGTGGAGGTGTCAGAAACTGCTAGAAATATCCCCCCACCATCCCTTCCCTGTCCTGCAGAGGTGGGCCTCCAGTGAGCAGAGGTTCTGGGGGAGGGGGGGAACTTGTAGTACAATACATCTGAGCCACGCTTATTCCCCAGGCAGAAGGTTGAACACTGGCCAAGGATTCTGCGATAAACCCGGAAAGGGATATTCAGCTAATCATTGTTCTAATCTGGAATACAGAGGGACATTCATGGTTCTGGGGCAGGAGAACACAGGGCCTCGGTCATTTAGACTGAGCGGTTAGTATGTCCTAGACACTGTGCTCATCCCCTGTGTGCACATTGGCTCCTCAAGGCCTCTTGCCCTGGGAAGTAGCTCCGTGGTCACCCACATTTTACAAATGAGAAGACAGGCATTTGATTGGGGTGGCGGAGCTGGATTTGAGCCCAGGCCGCCCTCTGTCAGGACCCATGCAGGACCGTAATCTGCCCGAGGTCCAGGAAGTGGGTTCTTGGGTGGGCCAAGATTCTGTGGACACTTAGTTGTGGGGAGAGGGGCAGCAGGTCATGGACTGGGGACAATTAAGTGGAGGTCAAAGTTCCAAGGCTTGGGGACATCTGGATTGAGGTTTCTGCCCTGGTATGTTGAGTAGGTGTTGGGGTTCAAAGACACCTGTCAAGTGGACTTGGAGATAGGTGAGTTGTGGTCTCCAGTTCTGGCTCCAGCCTTCCAGGTCAACAAATAGAGCATAAAATGAGGGGTTCTGGGTTGAATGTGGGGGAATTGAAGGTTTCCAAACTGAAGAGTCTTGGCAAGTTATTTGTGGCGGCTTTAAGATACTCCACACTTTAGCCCCTCCTAGGAGAGAGGCTCAGATGGGGTGTGTCCACCCGGCTTGAACTTGGATTCAGGATTTAGACTCAGATGTCAGCGCAATTGGGAACTTTCTGGAACAGAACTTGCCAGCTGGCTGCTTGGACACCATTTTGTCCCTTTCTGTCCAGCCAAAAGCCCTCTCAAAATATACATTGGGGGTGGGAGGCGGGGTGGGCAGGGTTTCTAACAGTTGCTGCTTGTCTTCAAGGTCTGGAACCTTCTAGAACACAACTGCCTGTTAGACTTTTCTGCAGTGGGAATGTGGTTTTGCATATTTGCCCCGTCCGTGGGGATAGCCACTAGCCACATGTGAAGGCTGAGCTCTTGAAATGTGGCCAGTGTGACTAGGGAACCAAATTTGTCATTTTATTTAAATAGTCATATGCCCTAGCAGAGTAGCTCGGTTGGTTGGAGCGTCATCCTGAACCACAAGGGTGTAGGTTCGATCCTTAGCGCACATACAGGACTCAACTGGTGGGTGTATGGATGGGTGGAGCAATGGGTCCGCGTTTCTCCCTCTCCCTCTCTAGGATCAATGGAAAATAATAATAATAATAATAATAATAATAAAATAGGCACGTGTAGCTTCTGGCTACATACTGAACAGTAGTTCTAGAATGT